TTGAATTAGTTGTTGTTTACATTGGGTAATAAATTGTAGCATCGTACGAAATTTCATGATGTGTTTTGCAAATCAGTTGAAAAAGACGTGCTTTTGGATTACTATTATACTATGTGATATTTTCGTGCTAGCATAAAAAAAGAAAAATCAATAACAAGTTTCCTAAATCTTTAAATTAAGAGAGCAGACTTCTGCTTCGGGCAGCGCACTTCTTCAAATTTAATACGTTATATCTTTGAATTGCACCCTTTATGAAACTACAAAAAGAGTTTGGAAAGATGTCCAAAACCCAATTCTTTTTTTCAAACTACAACCAGACTTACAGAATTTGATGAGTTGTAGCTACTGCACACCTGCCAGCCAGTATAAAATATTGATTTATGTTTCTTCAGGTTGCAAGAACAACATGCAAAAGTATCTTTCTAAACAGCCAGATATATAGATGAGTGGGTGAAAGTAGCTGGTAAAAGTAGAGTGTATTATAAAAGGGTTCAGTGAGAAAGAAAGTAAAAATTTAACAAGATATCTTTGTCTACTTTTTGAAAAGGCATATAAATTATGAAAACCGTTAAGTAAAGAATAACAATTAACGATAATGAGATATCTTTATAGTATAAGTGTTTTTAAATTGCGTGCTCTTAGAAACATTTTAATACTATTGGGTTGGAAGATACCCCATGATAATGGTTTTGAGTCGCACAAATTTTGTTAAGATTATATGGTTCATTGATAAACTATTGCAAAATTGAGCTGTTTTTAACTAGGACAAGTAACTGACATCGTTTACTCACGGTTACAGTCCTTTTTGCCTTTTGTCGCGTTAAATTCCTGTTTTGAAAAAGTATTCAAATAGCATGCCTGTGTTTGCAAGATCAATTCTTTATTTAAGAAATAAAAGTTATTGCAAACCGACAAGATGCTTGGGAGAACTGAAGGACATATCAGGTTTGCACCTGCTCGAGAGTTTAACACCTGCTCGAGGGCACTGTATCTAGGCTGGTTCAGTTATAAGCAGTGGCGTAGCCAGCCCGCAAATAAATTTTCAGGTGTTCACCTGGTGTTCACTCACTGTAAAAACTATAAATTTCTAAAGAAATGACTAATGCTAATGATGAAAAATTAACCTAGCATGAACAAATTTACAAATTCACGTTTAGGTTTTTGGTATACTTTTGAAATGCATTTATCTGAAAAAAATTGTAGCTATATTAGGCCGTAGGATGAGCATCCAAAAGATGCATTTCGGTTGCATCCTTTCGAGGCTACATAATTTTGACATGAATAGATAGATAATTTCTTTAGCCAGATTTCGTTTCTCCCCACCTGAAACAGGTGCATAATTGAGAGAAATCTTCATTCAAAGTTTGCGATTACGCGCTTCGATAAATACAAGTTGTCATCATTTTGTGCCATCTACGCACGCGCAGTTAGGATATATGGGGTTTCCCTGAAGGTTTTCCCTATTGTTTTCCTTATTTTCTCACGTTGAACAAAGAGAAACGATATAAATTTCTTTATTAAAGTCAGTTGTTGGGTTAAAATACTGTCTTATTAACTGCTAGTTTTCAGTTAATATGATGTAAAAGTTTACGAGGTGAAAACCATCTTTATCAAACATGACGGAGAATATATAAATTTGCCAAAGATTATGAAGTGACAGTGACAGAACGATATTGTTACGCTAATATTTATAATCATATTGAACAAAAAAGTCCTTATCATATCAGCTACATTTAATAAATACTGTAGTTACATTTTATGGTAAGTACATATATATCAGTCGCTTTGAAATTGAAGATAAATAATAGGAAAAACAGTGCGACATTGTTTACCTGCTTGTCAATACTACTTATATCAACTTTTGGGAAACCTCTAATTAAATACTTAATGCTTTATTAAATAGCTGTAATGAAAATATGTTTGACGCTTATTAGATAAATAATTCATCCATTTTGTTGATGCCGATCTTGGTTTTTGATAACGTTATTTTCAGTTTAATTTGTTGACAATTTCCTCACTCCTATTCAATATTTTATTCACTGTCAAAATTTCTGTTAGGAAAGCATTAATTACAGGTAGATTACAAAGTTTCGTCTTCGTAGGCATGCTTCTATACGTAGGTATGCTTCTACGTAGGTATGCTTCTACACGTAGGCATACTTCTATACGTAGGCATGCTTCTATACGTAGGTATGCTTCTACACGTAGGTATGCTTCTACACGTAGGCATACTTCTACACGTAGGCATACTTCTATACGTAGGTATGCTTCTACACGTAGGTATGCTTCTACACGTAGGCATGCTTCTATACCTAGGTATTCTTCTATACGTAGGTATGCTTCTATAAATACTTAGCTGGGTGTTACATCCTGACCAAATTGGAATGATGTTAATCCTGCCTTTATATATGCTAGGGCAGAATGAAAGGTCTTTCTTTTTAGCATCAACCTGTGCCAGTAAATAAAGTTCTTCTCTAATTTCCCTGTTTTGCATGGCATTATACAATCTACACTTTTACTTTACCTCAAAAAATGAAGATGATGTCACTTGTTGGCACTTGACCTTGGTAAACTTTCTCATTTTGGCAACTCAGTTACTGTACTGTGTTCCATATCAAAAGCAATACTTCTGTTTTATCAGTTGCTTTTTTTCCAGTGTTCATAAAAATCATCAATATCTCAAGCCAGAATAGTTGGAACATTTCTAATAGCCATGACTTGATGAATTAGCAGAATATAGTCATCTATATTCAGAATATATTCAGCAGTTGTTTTATGGAAATATTCATCTGTGCAAGAGCAGTCTTATGACTCAATACAAAGACTCTATTTATATATTTAAGTATCACATTCTGTAACACATTCATTTACACTGATGATGGCATAAGTTTGCCAAAACATGTCTGTATTAAAAAAGTTTGTTTTATATATTTAGTTTATTATTTCAACACAAAGGAATGTGACATATAATGTCCCGATCCACTTTGTAGAGAAATTACTGAATCCGAGTTTGTCAGATGTCTAAGAGCCATGGCAAGTACAATGCTTTTAATGCAGATTCACAATGCTTCACAATTGCTTTACAGATTTGCAATGCACTGCTTTTAAGGCAGAATTACAAGGTCTTGTAGAAGTAATGTTAGTCTAAATGGAACTTAATAAACAATGTCAGATAACTAATGATAAACTAAATGGAACTTAATAAACAATGTCAGATAATTCAAAACAATGCAGTGAAAACTATTATGTAGTATTTACAGTCATCCAGGTAATCTTAGCTTGTCCATTGTGAACCAAGACATGTCTCTTCCACAAATATATTTGGGAGTATACATTTCATAGTTATGTAATGATATGATCTTTACTGTCAGTGACTGATTGATGCGTGATTTTTCGAAATAGTTCTAATTTCAAATGATAATACAAAGTCAACGCTCAAAGGGTTCTTTTGTACGAATTTATTGATGTTTTCGTACTATTTCTTATCTACTACAGCCTGTTGACCCTTGAGTTTTGCCCATTTCGACCTACACTACAGAAAATTTTCCAGCCTTTGGGATGTAACTCTGCGAAGTTTCTCCATAACACCGTCTAAATACCCAAACGCGTAGTACGAGCTTCGCAAGTGTGCATATGCGTAGATAGCACAAAATAATGGCAGCTCAAATTTATCGATAGGCGTAAATTTCAAAGTTTGAAGGAAGATTTCTCTCAATTGTTTACCTGTTTCGCTTGAGGAGCAACGGATGCTGGTTTAGGAAGTTATTATCTATCTACTCATGTAAAAATTATGTAGCCTCGAGAGGGATGCAACAGAATCCATTTTCTGCCCATCTTTTCGATGCTCATCCTACGGCCTGTATTAGTTGCATGAAATCTAAAAATGGATTGAGAAAATATTTTTATTAAATATAATTGGAAATGTAAAGGCAAAATTTAATTTCTAAAACTATTTATAAACTCTTTAAATTTCTGCCAAATCATGAAGATAAAAATGAGGGATTTCATGGTAACGTGTTTGAGCAAGGTATTCAAATTCTCAAAAGGTATGCGATGCGTACGTCTGTTCATCCTATCAAACATACGCGATCACAAAATGAAGCTGATTAATAAACGTAGTTATGTAAGATTTTGTGCCTATTCAAAAGACCCAATAACTTTCAAAATTTTTCTTCATTTCCAAACGCAAATGCTTAGGTTGCATGTCACGTGACAATTTTCTCGTCGTAAATTGTTTAACTATCAACTTCATTTCAAATCTCTTTTTGAATAAGTACTTAATTGGGAATAGTTTGCTTTTCAATTTTCAAAACATAAAATCAACACGCGTTTGTCGTATTTCAACATGGATACGTCATTTTGATTAAAAATCAAAAACTGTTGCTTTTCTCAAAACGTCTTTAATGACTTGAATTCTGTATTTGCCTCTGATATTATACAGCAAAAACTAACATATTTTGAGCTTGAGGTATGTAACACAACTCTTGTGGTATATAAATACAAAATATTTAACTTGCCATCCGTCATCAGCAGACAGCAGTTGCACCAATCCATTCAAGCTCTACTATATTGAAAATCATCATGATCATCATCTCCAAATGGAGTCCAAAGTCCAGATCAAGTCCACCAAAATTTAAGTTCATCCTCGTCATAGCTACTTTCATCGTCGCCAAAATCTTCAACACGAACACAACGCATGATCTAGCATTCACTCATTCACCAGCTCCCAACGCATTGAATCACACAAGCCATGAATCTAGGTATGCCCTTTCAAGTTAGAAAAATACTTGCATGTCGTCTGGCCGTTAATTTGCGTCAGTCAAGTGCAACATATACATATATGGAGCAAATTTTTACCAGAAGATTGTTGTCAATGCCTAAGAGTGGAGTAAATCTTCTTTCATTGAAGGCTAATACCTGGATGCTAATGTTAAGGAACTGGAAATAACTTTGATGACATTCCAACTTGCTCGAAGAACTTCATGTACGGTTAGTCATCTGCACTTGCATGCAATTGATATGATTTGAATATTTTACGAAGCTTATTGTTGATGTGATAGTTTGGTGATTTTTGATTCAGAATATGTGGTTCAGACTTCAAATGTGTCATCTTCGAATGGATGATTTTCTAGTCTGGTGATTGTTGATGAATAGTAGATCAATAGTAGCAGCGTTAGGAAGTCAACATAACTCTTAAGGTAATTATAAACTTAAAACGTCACATAATTCTACACATGAATGTTAGTTAGTAATATATTAATGATGACTTCAAAGGCTGAAAAATAGATATCCTTGTCGATGAATCTGCATGACTTAAAAACACCCTTAGACAAATTATAATATTAATTATATGTCAACGAAAAATTGGAGAATTAAAACAGACGCCATTTGTTGTGTTGCCATGCATTGTATGCATGAGTAGAAACGCCGATTATTTGTACATGTGTGCCATATGGGCTAATTATTGAAACAGACGGCATTTGACGATGCCATTGAATTAATATTTGTGAGATGATTCATAAAGTAAAAATAGTTTAACTGATGGGAAATACTTGCACAACTTCACCATTATGGGCAACGCGCAATTACACGGTCAGTAAAATTCTGCTGTTAGAATCAACGAAACTGTCGATTCGACTCAAAACCTTCAGATTTTTTTGAGCATTCAATTAAAGTATTTAACCTTTGAGCAACTTATTGCCATCTAAAAGTTTACTGCGGCAAACTGTAATTATTGAAGATTCGTTGACGCGTGACCGATAATTTGTGGGATTACATACAAGGTAATATAGAGTTTCGCGGGAGGAATCGTTTAAAGATTCTGACGAAAATTTAGAATGATATCTCTAATTATGTCCAGAGCTGAGCTTTGGAATGAAAAGTCTACGATATAAAGGACACTAAATAAGACAAAATAAATGAATAGTTAAAAAAGAAAATTAGTGTAGATGGATTGGGCAAAACGCGGTAACGGACAAACGGATTGTAAATGAAGGATGAACCACTTTCAGACAAACAGAATTATTTGTTCTGAAGTCATTATATCCGTACATTTTAAAATACATAAAATTTTCCAGCCATTTCAAAGCTCGATAAGGTTTCATGAAAGTAATTTTGTGGAAGTTTTGTGTGTGTATTTTATAACTTCATCTCATAGCTTTCTATTAAATGAAATATTAACTGAGACAACAGTTCTACGACTCCAACTCAGCAAACACCATATGATTGAAAGAGAAATTATTTAACCGTTACAGAAAACGAAATATCAAAAATCATTAAAGAAATAAGCGTTGTGCTAAAGCAAGAGAGTAATCGTGTTCAGTTGGCAAGCATTGACAAAAGACCTCTTACACTAGAAACAGATTACAAAACCTTTACATTTCTGAAAAAAAGTGAAAGTACTTGGTTTCGATACTCCATTCATTTCATTGGTAAACGGAAAGTTTCCACACAGCAATGTTGTCCGTTTTAGAAAACAACATTTCTTTAGCAGTGCGTGTGATTGCAAACAGTTCTAGTGCAATAAAAACAATGACGCGTCGAATATAATTTTGCGAACTTTTCAATACTGGTGTCAACTATATTCTGGTTGTATCGATAGGGGTAACAGTGAAATCGGACACGGTTATCCGTTGAAATAACAGATAATTTCAATTGGCAATGAAATGTATACGTATTAACTGTCATACAACTAACGTTGTATCTCACATTAGGTAAACGAAAAAGAGGATGATGCACTGTACCTCGGATGGCAGATTTAATTCAACATTCCTTGAATCAATATACCTAATACAGCTACACGTCTTACATGGAAATTTCGAAAACCTTCAGCTCACATTTAAGACGTTAGAAACAAAATACTTTTCGCAACTTGAAGCGTCTGATTGGATGGCTTATGTTTCACTTTTACTTCAGGTGAAGATTGTACATAACTCAGTTTTTTTACGTAAGGAGCTTGCGTGTGATTGTGAAAATACTGTAGACTTCATTTAGAGTGTGCTAAGAAAAACTAGTATTTATGCGTACAGTTGGGTAGCCATCATCCAAGAAGGGCTTTATTATCGTTCATTTCTTCAAAAATCCGTTGTTTTTACAGTGAGGGAACATAGACAAACTTGTATTGCCCAAGTTTGTGATCTGGCTACGTCACCTGTATCGTATATTTTATTTTTATATTTCACACATGTATAACTATTTATTTGAGACAAGGAATTTATGTGATATTTTCCATGATTGTTTGGAATAAGCTTCATCTAAGAACTGTCGGAAAAATATATTAGATATAAGTTCCATTTAAAGCTACATTACAGTGTATGTGTGTATTATAGAGCATCTTTGAAAACGTTGACAGTTTTACAAGGAAAGCATTCGTCAAATGAGGTAAGTTTTTCATTTCGATGACAAACAGTCAGGTGAAAAAAGTTTGCATGCTTACTATAGCACAAAAGTGATAAAATTCATTTCGGTCTACGTCTGGTCATTTTATCCACAAAGACGAACATGAAAGTCGATGTTTTTAATTGATTTGGTAGAAATACTAAGTATAAAATTAAAATTCTGTACATAGGGGGCAATAACGATTGTTCAGCATGTTGATGAGAAAGGTATTGCTGCTCTGATACATTGTAGTGATGGTTGGGACAGAACAGCTCAACTTTCGTCCATTTCTCAGATACTTCTCGATCCATATTATCGAACCATTAAAAGATTTCAGGTTGGTTTTATCAAATTTTTACTTCATTGTGCATTATGTAACATTTATGATTTAACTGCTATTTTTATATTCACGAACATCTAAATTACATCTACTTATGTGGGTTTCACGGGAGCAAACACTGCAAAGCTCTATAACGTTTTATTTTTTAAAGTAAATTGTTACTATGATGTTGTGTCTTTGAGTATGCTTTCTATTTAACAAATATAAACTAACTAGTCGGTCTTGTGTCAAATATTATGAGGCTGAATGTACATCGAAGCTGGGAAATTGTCATGTTTGACTTTGGAAGGTTTGACGCATTTGTCACAAATAGCAGCCGTGCCATATTGTATGGACATTCCTCGCACGATATTTAACCAGTGGCGCAGCGCATCCATGTTAGAAACAATTTTGATTTCACGTGTTCTTGATTACAAAATATGAAAATTTCAGAAAATTTGATGAAAAAGAAGTCAACACATCTGAAGCGTACGTTGAGTTGTTTTCTGTTTCAACTCTCAGCTTACGTGACATTTATCCTGCATGTTATTTTTTTAATAGTATTCTTCTAAGATTCCTCAACAAATGAATGTTTCTATTTCATCGACAATATACAATTGCAAACTTGTATCATAATAGTATTGATAGTATTAATATTGACCTCCACAAATGTTTTTTTATTTATTAAAAAAATTTATCGGTAATTCTTGTCCGAAACCCCTAACGCTCGGGGGCTCATGTCACTTGACACCCGGATATCCGTTAGGTACGGCACTGAACGAACTAAACGGGAATTCTGTGTAAAAGGTATTGCGTCTGGCATGTTTCTTGCGCAGACCATGTCAACACATAACAAAAAAAAACAGGTGCAAAAATAGCTTAAGAGAGGGACTGGGGACGAGCCTAGTATTTTGCAACATAATTTTAATGTTATAATTTTAATTGCTAGTAAGGTATTGATCGAAAAAGAATGAACAGCATTAGGTCATCGCTTTGATCACAGAAATCAAACATCATCCATCATCAAACAGTAGTCAAAGATCACCCATATTTTTTCAGATTCTTGTTTGTCTTGGGCAAGTATGTGTTGGAACATCAATGTTATCTTTTAAAGAATTACTGTCGTTTGCTTTGGAATTTTATTGAAATAGTGTAAATGGAATTTATTGCAAATACGATATCGTGTCCATTGTGGGAAATAATTTGAAAACTTTCTTTATCGTCATATAACCTCTTTGGTAGATGTTTAATTTTTAAAACTCTTTTTCGCACAATCTTTACGAAGTGCTGGTTCACTGTTCTCAAAACTTTGTATTTAACACTTCGAAAGGATATTTACAGTAGTTGTGCACGATTTTTACGTTACGGAGTTCCAAACGTTGGTTCTTCACGATACAGAACATTTGAATTGATATCGTTACGATTACGGTCAACCGTCAATCCTTGAACTGAGTTTTCGAACTTTATTGCCTTCTGCAAAACGACTACTAATTTATCAAATTTTTATGACCAGTTCATACACCAATAACGTCAACTTTTCCGAACTCTCGAACCAACGCTTGCAAGCTATATTTACATATATTTTGACTAATAGTGTTACTTAATGGCTAAACGGCATCCAGTAATCTAATACAGCAGCCAGCTACATACGAAGTGAACCTAATGTATATTCCCTACACTGTGCTTTTGATTTTCAATCTGTATTGATCTTTTCCTATAAATATTCCACGAATTTAATTGTTGACGTCAAACAAGATGAAAGAAAACAGCTTGACTTCCAAAATCATTAATCATTGATGAACAAATAGAATTTTATGTGGACTCTTTTTATGTTTGCAGCATACTTCGAGATAGGTTTTTTAATGTTTCACTTAATGTTTTTTTCTTCTTATCGTTTGTTTTAATTTTTGGTGATATGTATTCAGCATCAACGTCGGCACGTGAATTTGTAGCTAATTCTAAAGGAATATTCGTCTGATTATTCTGGCTTTATTTGCTTTGCAAACACGATGTTTCGAGAAACAGAAGAATTACATCACAAACTATCACAACATAACAAACACACAGATTATCCGCTGCCACTTCATAATCTTAATATATGCATGCCAGAATGTATTAAATACAATATCTGCAAATGATTATTAAATTTTCCAAATGTATTTTCTACATCGATGTATGAATAAATGAGAGCAAATAAACTTGCTATCTTTTAATTCTAATTTCAGTTGTAGCTTTACAACACCAGCTTGATTTTACGTTTATCATTTTCATTTCTCGAATGGATTATTTGCTTATTTAGACATGTTCTCAAACATCCTCATATAGTTGAAGTTTATATTGATAACGCATTTTATTTTTAGCTTGTATTCTTTAAGATCTGTGGCAGGGTTTACAAAGTCTGGATGGCATTATTCAAGAAAAGAAAATTTTTGATTGTTCAATTCAGACTTGACAATCTTAAAGAAAACATTTTGGCGGACATTCTTCCTTTTCTTGTAGACGCATTCACACGGAAAAAATTGAGTGCATTTTAAGAAACAGATGAAACATGATCACGTGTGTTCTATAGGATTTAGAATCTGAAGCATTAGATAATGTAAGCAGAAAATATTCAATAAAGCAATGATTTTGATCAAACGTCAAAAGAGAATAGAGAGTAACAAAATCAGAGAAAGAATGAGATAACAAAATACACAAATGAAAATCTTCTTTGCTCTGTTAATTCTTTCTCTCGTGTTGAATAATTACTTCCATGTAAACATTAGCAAATTTTTATAATAAACATGATAAGAAGATAAATTAAATAAACAACATGTCTACGATTGTTTAAAAATATTTTTAAGTTGTTTGCCTAAATGAATGAATGATGACGGTTTCTCATTGTGTGGTATCACTTTTTCCTTTTCAATGATGGTAGCACAGGGAGATTTTTGTGTGCGAAGCTCAGGTACCACGTAACCCATACTAACAAGATCGGTTAACCAGGCTTTTATAACATGACCATCAATTGGTTCTAAGAACTTTTCGTTGATAAGTGCGATGGTCAACTCAAGCATTCGGCTAAATAAGTCCGATTTTGTTGGTTTCCACTTCCTTAGAAAGTCAATATAGCGACCTGATTCATAGTAGAGAGCTTTCTCATCAATAAAATCTTCAAGGTAACTATGTGAATTTCTTTCTTGATATGCATTTGGTCCAAAAAATCCCAAATAACCATCTATTTCTTCCAGGAGACGCTTATTATAAAATGATCTCCAAATATCTGTCACTCTCAACGTTTGACTGGGAGGAAGTACCAGGCCCCAGAATGCATCATACAGAAATATTGTATTTTGACAGTTATACGGTGAATAAGATCCTGGAGGTATAAGGACTGGTGGGGCCTTTGAATCAAATTCTACATCCAACCTAACTCCCACATCCTTCCGGGTAAGACGAAAAACTGCGTCTACATCTGGGTCACCATTTACAACACCTTGTTGAATAAGTGGTTGGATTTTATCACATTTTACAAAAGTATGTTGAGGAGGATCACCTATGTTCTCTAATGGGTAACCTCTAGGCCATATGGATGATTGGCCAAAATGTTCATAAGGGTTCACCACCTTCTTGTCGGTTGCATACACCAAAAATTGTTTTTCCCCATCTAGACTGAATCCAATCTTTCCATCGTACGGATAGTTGTCATCATCTGTTTCATAAATAATTTTAGCACCATGTTCAATGGCATACAAGTAACCAATAGTCTTTCGAGCGTAATTCTTATAAGGCATAAGCGGAGTTGTTTTATAGCCAAGTTGCTTTTGCTTCTCAACACTGAGAAACACAACATTGGGATGGCTGAAAAAAAAAACGAAGAAACAATAAAATGTGATCTAAAATTACAATATGATCATCAATAATCATCAAGTGTTTGTAACGCTGAATTACATTCAACACTTAATTATCCGAGAAGACGTCAACAAAATACACTGTTTGCCGAGGTGTCGGTAAATAAGTTTTTTTTAATTACATACCAATTAAACTTTCCCAAAATAATGTAAAAATGAAATAATCAAAAATACAGAATATTTTGAAAGAATTCCTGCGCATAATGGACAGCTTTAGCAAAGACAACGAGAACAAATTACGTCAATTTGGCGCAAAAACATTGTTGCGACAACAACAACACGTAGCCCTCATCAATCTGAGTACGATATTTTGTAAAAAGTTATTTGTCGCGACTACGATAACTTTTAAGCAAAGAAAGTAAGTATATTTTTTCATTTTGTAAGAAATTAGTTTACAGTACTATTTTTGAGCATCCAGGCTTTACTTTAGAACTTTTTTGAGCGCAGATGTACATTTGAAATGAAAATATGACCTGCAAAACATTCATGTATTTCGTACGCAAAGTGAAAGGTAAACAAACAATAAAATAGTACAAATATATCGTACATAAAACTTAAAATAGTGAAGATTTTTTACTGTAAAGAGTCCTATGTGCTCGCCAAATCAGTATTACCGATTGGTTGATTTCATTATTGACAAATGGAGGCGTAGCTGCTTCGCAAACGTCGGTGTTTTTCACAATAAAAAGGCTCGTTCTGTTGTTTATAGCTAAAACTAAATTTTGACGAAGCGACAACGACAACAAACTTCTTCGTGCCATTCCCTTACACGGTCAAATTTGGTACTCGTCGTATTCGTACTCTGGCTAAAGCTCTCTAATATCGGCCGATGGTCTCATTTTCAAGTTATGACGAACGTCATTGTAATTATCAACCGGTGCATAACGTGCCCTCCTCATTTGAATTTTTGGAAAGGAGTCCTATGATGTAGCATTGAAAATTGAGATGGGAGGTCGTGTCATTAACTCATACAGAATTCACACATCCCCAATACTGCACAGGTTGACATTTTATGAGCTGTGTATACCACGCTTTCTGTGTTAACAGCAGGGTGCTTAAGTGTTTTATTGCTTGAAAATATAAAAAACAACAAAATACTACTTCTTTAGAAATTTAAGTGCATGGGGAAGGAAGAACGAGGGATATTGTGGTGCATTACTCCATGTGCGCTCGTAGACACAAACAACAATTCTGGGCGTAATATACCATGAAAATATATGAATAGAATCAATGATCACTATACATAACGTTATTACAAAAAGAATACACAAATCTGCACCAACATAATCAGAAAGTAAAAAAATGCTGTGAGGCAACTGTTCATGTTGTGAGGCAATTAGCAGTACAATTCGAAACATGTCTGCATGGATGATATATAGTATCATTCAGTGCTTTGCTTTCACCCCCCAAAAAAATAAAATCCTGCCTGTGCCATTGTGCAAGCTTGACCCGAATCCAAACTTTTTGCTTCTACTGATTTCAATCAGCATTTCTATCATGTATTCGAAAGAGTGTCCGGATGTCTGTGGAAAGTACATTTAATAGATACGCAGCGTCTCCAAGTAGGTAGCCTAGCAAATATGGGCTAAAAAAATCACCTAGACTAAATAATTAACATAATTGAAAAAATATTTATTTATATGTTTGTTACATTATCAAACAAACATTACAATTCAAATTTTAAGATTTTTCTCCTTTACAATTCAAATTTTAATCAACCTGACGAATATCTATGAGGCACAGAAGCGAACAAAACTGCTATATTGCAAAAACGCAGAGCAAAAATTCATCCTATGTGGAAAAATTCATGCTACATGTCAATGTAAAACATCGAAACACTTGCTTTAAGTGAAACATTCATCCTTGTTATTTGCAGTCGACAAATTATTTCATTAGACAAAAATTTGTCAGAGGCATCTTGATAACTTCATTAATCACCAAACGAACGCAACACAAACACTATGAAACATACACATGTATGACATTGCCTTTACTCATCCTTTCATACCAAACGAAACAAGAAATCGATTCATGGATTGGGCAAATGACTTATAATATACAAAGGAAGGCTTCGCTGGCGATCACAAATATTGTTTGTATTGTATATGTACTGATTCGTTTCACATATTACAGTAGTCTGTTGAATAAAAGACACGAAGCAAATAAATTTATTTTGCTTTCGATTCTTGTACGAATTACAAATATTATTTGTTTATGATTTACATAACTTTAATTCACTATGGAAATTATGGAATATGACACGTACCAACAGTCGAACTGAGAGCAGGAAATACATTTTAAGTACGTACGATCAATTGATAATGTGCGAACTGCGAAGCATTATCAATAGTTTTCAACCATTAAACATTACTTACAATGGGTGCGGTATTTTCGGAATTAAAGCTATCCTATATATGTAAAACAAAAAAGTCACAAGCGTGTTGAATTATCGGTTAAATGTCAGTAGCACAAAACTGTTTTAAGGCCTGTTCACACAATCCGATTCGATCCTACTGCAGTCGGCTCCGTTAATCTAAAAATCGGTTGGAAATAGAACTTTCTTTTTCATCCGACAGATCAATGAAAGCCAACTAGCCAAATTACATAGATTTAAAAATACTTGAAAACATTAAGAACGAAAATATATTGAGAAATGTACTAGATAGCACAAATGGCTGTTCACACGACTATAAATATTGAAAGTTTCGATTCGAAACGAATATAAATATCAACAAAATTATCTGACCGTGTGAAAAGGCAACAAAAAGTCGGATCTGCAAAAATCGGATCTAACAGCACGCATCGTGTAAACAGGCCTGTAAACGATGAATTATTTATGGCAAAAAAAATGCTTTTTGGTGAAATTAAATAACAAATTCATCCTTAAAATTATTAAGAAATCTTGGGTACATCTTTTTTCTTATTGTGAGTACAGTCACTTGACATGCAATATAAAGGATGGTGATTGGTAAATGAAAAATAGGTTAAAAAGTTACTGGGTCATTCGACTATTTAGTGTGCACATAGCACTTTTTTAAATCTCGAACAAGTTTGGCGCAAATATTATTTGATATATGATATTATTACAGCTATGTTTATTTTGGTTACCCACATGTACGCATTGCGTACCAATTTTTTCAATTGTATTTATAAGCAATTTAAAGAAGAGTTTCCCTTGAAGTGTCAAAAATGCACATGTACGTACACCTCCATTGCAGGCTAATCTTGCATCAAACCCATCCTCAGATGAATTTATTTAGGATTATCGAATTTGTCCGTCAGATATGGTCCGGATACGTGTGAATGGGCAAAAACGATCCGAAAACGACTACGTGTGGACGCGGAAGTTTTTACAGTAAAACAGTAAAAATAGTTTTGCGTTTTCAAATTTATCCAGATACGTGTAGACAAGGCCTCAAATTAAGATCATGTTTACTTCCGTATGAATAATTAACATAAGGCAATATTGTACAACTTTATGTTCTACTTCATCATTGGTCAGTTCACAAAGAAGTCACGTGAGATAAAACGTGGGAAATCAGAGCATTCAGTTCGAGTGTGATTTCAGAGTGTTTGGGTATATAGGAAAAGTTTTCTGTCAGAAATGACAGGAATTGAAGAAAATACTGACATCGTTCTCTCAGAAGAGGAAGACGAATCTTCGGCGAATGTGAACAAAGAACTACTATCGGGTATCACGCTACTAAATGCGAATATGATTGCTGTTTGCAAATCAAGCAATAAGGACCTTAAGATTTTACGACGCGCTTGTCAACAAAGCGAACGGAAGTACAATTGAGACAAATGCGCATGCGCAAGCGTCGTTCATTTTTTGCACACCAACGACGCGGCGTTTTTACTTGTTTTGGAGTTGGAGTAGAGTGGAAGACCATCTTGCGAAGTGGAGAAAATAAAAAAGGTTGAAAAATCCCATTTCTGCTACTCTGGTAAGTGAAAATGTGCTTTCCTTCTGTCAAAAGATAAAATGCCTAACTGCCAAGCCATACACATTTAGTAAAAAAAATATTATAAAATCTAAAATAAAACATAATTTCAAAGACATCTTGTAAACTCAAATTTAAGTCAGATCCAAAACATGTCAAATAGTTTACACAAATTAAATAATCTTGGTTGAAACAAAGCGCGCTTTAGATTTAAGTATTTAATGTGCCTTTTTGCTGATTATCTCTTATTTTGTATTAGATGTTTAGTAACCTCTTTTTATTTGTAATAAGCAACTCTTACTTCAAGTATGACTTCTGAAGCACCATACTCAAGAAGTTCACTGTAAGTTAATCTTTTTTTCTTTGTTCAGAAAAGGCATGAAATCCTACGATATCAGTAGACGTTGATAATTTTAATCAAATCAATAATAAAGCATATATTCTTTGCTGTTATCATGTTGTTTTTTTTCAAGTATGGGAAAGAATAAAGCAATTACAAAGTTTTGGGTATTTAATGTGCATTAGACACTCTGTAAACTTTATTTTTTAAGTTGGCAAAGTAATGAAACATGTATGAAATATTATACATCCAATTAATTCTAATTTATACTGAATTAGATATGTCAGCATATTATACTAGTACTTTTAACCCTTTTCATGCAGGTTCTACCAAAGAGAATTGACCATGTATATTGCTGGATTCCTATTCATCATGTCTAAATTCTGTTTAGAATTGGCTTTGTGATGAAATGGACTACAAAACATGACATTGGATTGTGCAAAGAGGTAGTGGTGTCACAAATCTTTGAGACAAGGAAGAAATCTATCGAAAGAGGAAAGTTGTAGGAGAGCATTGCCAGAAAGTTGGAACTTCATGACCATCTATGCTTTCTAGTAGATCAGCGCGCAGTTAGAGATAGCATGCGGAAATTGATAGCCAACTACCGTAAAAAGGAGAGAGAAGAAACAGCTGAAAGTGGAATTTCTCCAGAACATGATGAGCTGGATGACTTGCTAGAGGAAATTAATGGAGTCGAATGATGTTGTGGCTGCTGAAGCTAGTGCTGCAGAAAGCGATCAACTGCTGAACCAGCAGACGCGTCAGTGACAAAAAGTTGTTAACGACAACAACAAAGTCGCCACAAATATGTCCGTAAAGAACAGTAACTATAATTACGAAGGTAACGTCCCTGAACATATTGATGAACACGATGACCCTCTGCTGGAGGAAATTGCTCAGGCTATGAACGACGATGAAAACACCGCCCCAAAAATCTCAGAACTGGCAAAAATTATAAATTCTCGTCGGTTGACTAAGCTGAGAGATGAAAGTCTTTGCGAGAAACTTTATTCTCACTTATGTCCAATTAACTGCGACCGACAGATCACCCCAAAAGTCAACCCAGAAATCTGGGGGCGTCTCGATAGAGAAACACGTAACAAAGACCTAAAACTGTCCTATTTGCAGACTAACCTAACAACGGTTGGTAGTATTGTCTCGCAGACAACAGATATGTTGTTGACGGCTCAGGCCGAAAACACCAAAGTAGACATTGAAAGCGTGATTCGCAAAAACATGGACGCCGGCCCTTGCTATCATGGGCCATATTAGTTATGATTTGACTCAAAGAAGACGCGATGTTATTCGCCCAACACTCAACGATGTTATGAGCCTCATTTTTGCCCAAAATACTTTTTTCTTCCTGTGTTCTCGCCATTTAGCAAGTGATTGTAACAGAATCTTTCTTTTGGCACATTTTGTGACCATATATGGCAATAGAGGATCAGCAACTTAGATAAACTCGGTGTGTCATTTGCGCCACCTGCATGGCATTACTTCCTACATCAAATTACTAACTTTGTCGTCTCGATGTTCTTAGTTTTCAATGAATCTTTTTTTGTATGCATTTTTTAAAAACAGACTAAAAAATTCAATGGTCTGACCCGACGTAGGTATATAATAGGGGATATGTTGATGTGTAGGGGAAAAGTAAGGGGAAACAAGGAAAATCATCGCAGAGGGAGGTAGGGGGAAAATAGAGTTTTGGTAGGTGAAATGTGCATACACAGAGTGGCAGCACTGGCCCAGACGCCATTACTCCTCTTATCAAGCGAAAACTAAAATGGGCCAACAGAAGCCTTTTTTATGGAAACAGCCGCTTTAGGGCGGCAAACTACAATACAGGAAAAAATACAGACATCGTTTCAACCAAAATCATCCGGTAGATCATCAGTTGGCTTCATTGCTGACTCTTGGTTAAAATGAATGACTTATGATGATTGTATTAACAATATTATAGCTACTTTAAGATTGCTTGACAAGCTTGGATTTAGTGTGCACCCAGATAAGTCAATTCTTATCCCTACACAACGCATTGTTTTTTTTTGGTTTTTTCCCTGACTCCCTCAAAATGTGTCATTAACTCCTGAAAGAGTACAGAAAGTAATTCATGCTTGTAACAAATTGCTTAAAACAGATTGTTCCATCATAAGACAAGTAGCCCAAGTGATTGGTCTTATAACTTCCACCTTTCCGGGGGTAATGTATGGCCAATTCCACGATAGATATTTGGACACGGACAAAAATTATGCTCTTAAAGTAAACTAAGGGGATTTTTAAAGGAAAATGTCAATCTCACATGAATCTAAACTAGATTTAAAATGGTGGAGAACATCTGTGCCAGATGCCTATAACCCAATAAGTGATGGAGAGAACTGAAGTCACTCACTGGTTGGGGGGCTTGTATAGACATTACAACAACAGGTGGTAACTGGTTGCCTACTGAAAAGGAAAATGATGTAAATTATCTGGAAATACAAGCAGCCTTCTTGGCATTGCAATCTTTTTCCTTAGCACTTGCAGGGAAACATGTCAGATTACTAGTAGATAACACAACTGCAGTTAGCTCTATTACCAACATGGGCACATGTCACTCAAAAGCTAATAGTGCATTAGTGAGGGAAATCTGGTGATGGTGTATAAATAACAATGTTTGGCTAACTGCGGCATACATTCTGGGAAAAGAGAATAGTGTAGCTGATAGAGAATCTCAAGCATCACGTTGAGAAACTGAATGGTCTCTTAGCAAAGGCCTTTTTAGTGCCATGCATGTTTTCAAAGTCTGGTTTATTCCTGATATAGACTTGTTTGCTTCTAAGCTTTACTATCAGGTCAAGCCATATGTTGCTTACACACCAGACCCAGAAGCTTTTGCAATTGATGCTTTTCATTTGTCTTGGGGAAAATACAAATTTTATGCCTCTCCTCCCTTCTCTATTATTAGTAAAGTACTTCAAAAAGTGAGGGAAGACAAAGCCACAGGTCTGATTGTCGTCCCATTTTGGCCCACACAAGTTTGCTGGCCCACCTTAATGAACATGCTTATACAATATCCACTTCTTTTACCTAGACAACAAAATACATTGATTCTACACAGCGATCCACAAGCAATACACCCACTGAATCAACAAACTGAATCTATTATGTTGCCACAAGTCAGGAGTCACCTCCTCAACCGAGGCATTTCAGAAGGGGCTTCAGGGATTATCGTACCGTCATGGCGCCACGGCACAGAAAAACAATATCGCACATATTTACAAAGATGGGTAGTGTTCTGCTGTTCAAGGAAAATTAATCCAGTTTGTGGAACTGTAGAGAATGGCATTGAATTCCTTTTCACTGAATATCAACGTGGTTTATCATACAGTGTTTTGAATATCATTAGAAGTGCACTTTCTACCGTCATTTTTCCTCATAATCAATCATTTGGCAGGCATCCACTAGTTTCTAGATTTCTAAAAGGTGTTTTTGAATCCCGACCTTCTCTTCCTAGACATCAAATGACATGGAATGTTTCTTCTGTATTAGACTATTTAAGAAAAATGGGACCTGTTGAACATTTAAAGTTGAAAGCTTTATCACTCAAAATTGTTATGTTAGTTGTTTTATTAAGTGTTGAAAGATGCCAAACAGTACATGCTCTCACATTGAGTGGAATGCGACAATTGGATGACCAAATTACTTTTAAAGTTAGTAAGATGTTGAAGACATCTAAACCTGGAAAGCATATTCATCCATTAGTGTTTAAGGCATATCCAGCTGATAAGCTGTTCTGTGTGGTGACTTGCCTGAAGCAGTATTTAATCATGACAAACCAGGTGAGAGACAATAATGACCAACTTTGGCTTAGTTTCAACAAACCATACAAACCAGTTAGTAAAGACACTGTCGCACGATGGCTTAAAACTGCAATGGGGATTGCTGGAAGTGATACAACTTGTTTCAGTGCACATAGCACTCGTTCTGCATCTGCAGCTACAAATCTCTCCATTGATGTTATAATGAAGGCAGCTGGATGGGTCAATGAGACTACTTTCCATAAATTTTATAAGAAACCTATGAAACAATCTCTTAATTTTGGAGAACAATCTCTTAATTTTTGTCTTCTCAAAATATGAACAAATGTTGTTCTTTCAAACGTTTTGCACAGCTGTTCATGAACATGCTGTTTTAATATAATATAAAACAAATTCCGAAGAAGCAAGACATCTTGAGATTGTAAAATATGAATCAAAACAAGACAAGAAGTAAACTGTCTGAGGATGACTTTGAAATAAAGTCGAAAATTTACAGTTTACTTCTCGTCTTGTTTTGATTCATATTTTGCAATTTCAAGATGTCTTGCTTCTTCGGAATTTGTTTTATATTATACTTCTTTAAATTGTCGGCTGGTCATGGTTTTGTGTTGTTTTAAAGTCTCACGTGACTTCTTTGTGAACTGACCAATGACTGGTAGAATTCAAATCAAACTTCACCTTACAGGTAAGCCTTGTTTGATTTTTAAATTTGACTTGTATTGTTTTGTAGTTATTTTTTCTAACAAACATTTGATTAAAGTATTTGCAATATAGCTTGCGAAGCTAGTATGTCATATTCTTGACTAGCGATTCAGCCTTGTTTGTGGACTGCAGTGGCGTCGCCAGATAGTATAAGTGAGGGGGATTTTATTAATATGTGCATGTTTTTCTGTATTAAGTTCTTTTGAAATAAATTGTTTCTTCGGGATTAAAACATGCAGGTATAAATATTGTCTTTGGCGACGGCACTGGTGGTCTGGTACATAAAGGAAATTTCATCAGTGGTAATGTTTGCCGTAGCTGACGTGGCATGCCACGTTATTTTGTATATCTTAATAGAAAGGTTGGGTCAAAATTGCACATACAAATAATATTAGCGTATTTCGCTCTTACCTCCAGTCTTTCGGTGTTTTTGAATCGCCAACTACGAGAAGTTTCCATCCTTCTACTACCGCCAGCTTCTTCACCTGCTCTGTTGGCTGGGCGATAGAAGTGACAACAATCCACTTGTCATGATGTTCTTCCTTGTTTACTTTTTTTCTAGGCTTCACCTTCGACCAATCCACGTAAGAAATTTCGCTCATTGACGAGTCGAAAATAGATGTCCACATTTTTATTCGTGATACGCCGTCTTCGCATTTCATGTGTAGAGCTACCCATAGAAATACCAGAAAACTTATCAATAAAATAGCGAAGGCCGGTTTTATAAAATATTTCCCGGGCATTTGGTTATCTTCGAACGGCAGGCACTATACTATACAGATGTGCAATCACTGATATGTGTATAAGCCTGTTTTCCACTAGCCACGTATACAACCATTGAGTTATTATAGAACTCAATGATACTTACGTATCGTAGCAAAACGTAACATGGCGCATGCGTGCAAGTGTATTTGATGGCTTATGGCGTATCGCAATTTTTAATACGCGTATAAAGAAATAAGTTCGCGTTTGTCAACTTTTTTCGTACGAGTCTGTAATACGGATATATTCAACCAATCATAGTCGTTCATTTCATGAGAAAACAAAATTCATGCTTTCAAAATGGCGACGCTCGAGGAGCTGTGCATCTAGTTATTTCAAGAAGAAGGGACAGACGATTCATTAAATAAATCAGATATCAATGTGCAAGATGCTTCCCTTCTGTCAAATTCAATTGAGGAAATACGTAAATAACCTTGCATGTGGATTGTTTCTTTAAAAAGTCACAAAGAAAGACCAAAAAAATGAAGCCTGGCGTAGGATTTCTACAGCATTGAATGCACCTGGTAAGTTATTCACGAACGAGCTTATACATGATAATGCCATAAGGCAATAAACCCAGTAATGAACTTTTCTTGTCGCACAGTTCTTATTATATTCAGTAGTTCTTTTGTTGAAGTAAATATTATAAACTACACTGGCAATTAAAATAACTGCTCACCTACAAGTAATATAATAATAGGTTAACATTTGGAAAAAGTGCCAAAACATTACATATAATCATATAAGTCCCTCAATAAAAAAGAATAGTATATCTAATAAATAGTGGATCCTCCTTTTGTTTTAAATACAACTTTGCATCAACCATCAAGCTGCAAGCATTACCTAGACAAAAACTGAACAGTTCTATTTGACTGCCTGTGCATTAATGTTCTTGCTACTACTTTAAACAGCAATCATATTGTTTACAACAACAATTAATATTATATTTGTTAATTAACAAGTTAATTCTGTATTCAAAATTGTATTTGGCTGTAAAATTTACAAACAATGGTACTCAACAATCTACATGTATATAGGTTATAGTAAAACATTAAATTTGAAACAGTAAATTTTGTGAGCAGTTTATTTATGAATATTTTACTTTCAATTTTGAAAGTACATTGAACAAAGAATTTGACAGACTGAAAGATAACTATCGTTGATGCATTCGCAAAAGAGAGCAATTAACTTGTTCTGGAAGTGGCTCTTCAAAATAATTACCCACCTGTGATTATTTTGTGGAGCTATCATTCTTAAGGGATGTAATTAGTGGGCAGAAAACTGAAAGCAATGTTGAATATGAAATCATTGATCCTGTGAAGGTTTCTGAATCAAGTAGTTTGTCATTGGATAATCAATCAAGTGAGCAGGTTTTTGACCCCAAAACTAATCAGAAAGCACGCAAGCGAAGATCAGACCAAATTGATGACCTTTTAGCCATCAGTATTGCTAATGATTTATCCAATGTTAGTAAAACTGGTAGTTGTGAGACAAACAATCAACAAGATGAGGATACACTATTTTTCTTAAGCTTAGTGTCTAGTTTCAAAGGAATGAAGGGAAAAACTAAACAAATGGCTAAGATAAAGGTGCTTCAAGTTCTATTTGAGTTTGAAGAAGATGACTGAAATTCATTAGCATCACTGACAAATGTATTACAGAACATTCAATTTGCTTTTTTATTTAAAGTTTGTTGTAACAAGTTATTTTTAGTTTTTGTTTCTGTCTTATAATATATTGATTTGTTCAAACATGTTTAATAATAAATCTGCCTTATTAGTTATTTTTGTCAAAACAATTTTCAGTAGCATGAACAGATTCCCACTGCCATATAACTTGCCCCTCGTTTGACAAAAAAACTTTTTGAAAGCTTCTCTAACTTTTTTGGCATTACGAGAGTAGTTGTTTGATCCATCTCTATAGATTGATTGCAAGCCTTTGTCGCCTTGCGTTATTTTTCTCCACCACCCTGGTTGTGTGCCATGTTTTGTGTTTTTGTCAATTAGTTCCATGCGAAAATAACTCTTTCCATGAGAGCATGTACCTTCCCTCATGAGATAATTATGAAGGACCACTGCAGCTTGGGTTATCCTGACAACCATTTCAACTCTAGCATATATTGGACGTCGAAAAATCCTGAAGCGTGCAGCTATGATCCCAAAGGCATTTTCTATTGTCAGTCTTGCTCGTGACAACCTGTAGTTGAACACTCTTTCTGCAATACCTAGAACTTCTCTTGGGTAGGGTTTCATTATGTGACGTTGCAGTTGAAAAGCTTTATCTGCTACCATAACATAAGGGCATTCTTCCTGGAAGCCAAGCAATGATTTTTCACATGGAAAATTCAAACTGTTGTTTTTCACAGCTTCTCCAATTTTGCTGTAAGAAAATATACCACCATCGCTATTTCTTCCAGCGTCACCTATGTCGACCAGAGTGAATTCGTAGTTGGCGTTGCAAATAGCCATGAACACAATTGAATGAGTTTTTTTGTATTTAAAAACATTGAACCGGAATTTGAAGTGGCCTGCATGACCACATGCTTTCCGTCTAACGCTCCAATACAGTGGGGGAAAGTTCCATTTTATTTCAAATTCTTCAGCCAATTTAATCAATTCGGACTCAGTTGTAGGTGGCTTTATAAATTTTGCTAGAACAATACACAATGCTCTGCAAGCTTTGAAAATGATTCTTCCCACTGTTGTTGGACTCATTCGATAGTTCATAGCTATGGTCGTTTGACAGTCCCCGGTTGCTAAATATCTCATCGTCACGCAAAGCATCTCAGTTGGTCCAATGCAATCTCTAGTCATGCATTTTTTTTTATTTTGGGGGCGACCATAATTAGTAATTTCATCAAATTTGGAAGCGTTCATTCAAATATACCTGAAAAATAATTCATCATCGAACGTAAATTCTGCACCAAAAGATAAAATTCTCCATTAGTTTTTCTTTCTTGATAAAGCTTTCGAATCCAAAATGTTTTTTATATTTATCTTTCTTCATTTGTCTACTTAAAAGTAAAATCAAGCGAGTTTTTTTGCTGAGAGTACCCATCACAAAAATATTTGTATTGTTTTTGAACTTTGGCGGGAAAATAGTATTACGCGTTGTGCCGAATAATGGCAAACGTTTAACGTATCTGTACTTGCTACGATACGTTACGTTATGCTACGATACGTTACGATACGTGGCAAGTGGAAAACAGGCTGACTGGATAACGAATCCTCTTGTGAAAACTGAACTTGGAAGTTCGATCATTTGCTTATGACACTTTTTCTTCAAATACCTTATGGGCAATCTTGAATTTTGATCTAGAACCGAATTTATCGCGTGTTGAATGACAACAATTTCACACGAGCGAAGTAGCATTGGTCATGTGCCTGGTGCAAATTTAGCAAATTTATACCCAATGTATAACTATTATTATAATAAGCTAGAAGAATAATGCTGCACAACAGCATCACCAGAAATTTTTTCTCGATGCTTGTAAAATGCTTAAAACAGTGCCAAACATAGATCTTCTTGCTTCACAGATCAATTACAGAATTTACCCTTAAATGTCATATATAGCGGAACCTGAATTAATCGTAGTTAGAACATTTCATCACTCATAGGCTGCTTTTAAACTTTATGCATTTCCGCCTTTTGGTTTAATTAATCGAGTGCTGCAAAAGATTCAGAAAGAGAAAGAAGAAAGGCTGATTGTCCAATCAAACTGATCAAAACAGTCGTGGTGGCCACTAGCAATGAAAATATTGATAAAGGCACCAATAATCCTGCAAAACAAAGAAGTGACAATGTTCCTCCCAGCAACCCAATAAAAAAGCACCCTCTTCAAGGAAAACTGTTCTTGCTCATGTGCCACTTATCACGGAAAAGTTCAAAAACAGAGGCTTATCAAAAGTAGCTTCTGAAATCCTGGAAGATTTGTACTATGGAGACCAAGTACAAATAAACTATACCGAGTAAACCTGGAGAAATGGAGAGAATTTTGTAATAAATAGAACATTGAGCCCTTTCTGCCTACCCTAGAAGAAGGAATCCATTTTCTTGCAGAGCTCTTCAAAAACGGCCTTGGCTACAGTGGCATGAATTCAACAAGGGTGCGTTTTCATTTATTGTTACCTTACCACACAACATGAGCTTTGGGGCACACCCTTTGGTATAAAGATTTAAGAAAAGAGTTTTTACGAGCTGATCCTCTTTACCTAAGTACCATGAAAATTGGGGTTTGAAATTAGTTCTGGATTTCCTTAAGTCGTTTCTTGAGAACTTAAAATTCTAAATGTTGACGTTTAAACTTACAATGATGCTTGCTATAAAACTTCAGCACAGAGATGTCAAACACTGAAAGCTTTGTCAATTGATAATATGCCTTGTGATGGTGACTAATTTGGTTTCAATTTAAAACATTACTGCAAACATCTAGACCTGGAAAACATTAAGCACCCTTAGTGGTAAGATCTCACTATCTGGACGCGAAGATTTGTCCTTTTAAATTCTCCAGACCGACATTAAGAGAACCAGTAGTGTAAGAGAGGCGGCCAGGCAGCTGTTGATCAGTTTTCAAAAGCCTTATCATGAAGTTAGCCCGGACACAATATCAAGATGTTTAAAAAATACGTTAAAATTGGCTGAAATAGGCGACTTCTTAGGTTACAGCATGAGATCAGAGTCGTCCTTTGCTGCAAGTAAAGCTAATATTCCAATTGACTCCAACTAGAAGCCGCAGGGTGGTGTAATGCCAAAACATTTCAGAAATACTATAATAAGCCTTTACGTTCCGAAAACACTTTCAGTAATTTGTTGTTAGCATCCTCATAGAGCTAAATTTGTAGCTTGTCATTGACTTATTATTAAATTATCCATGTTGTCACATATAGCTCGTGATTAAAACGCTTTAAAGTTTCGTATGACTCATTAGTGACGTAGTCCAATGACGACATTGAATTTAAAAATTAAACGTGTTAGGCTGTTAGGTGAAATTAACTAAGAAGTCGCATACCCATGTGACATTGTAGGGGAGCAATCAGCAATATTTCGCTTTTATCGCCCTCCTATATGTATAAAATTTGTTGAAATCACTCGCTGCGTGAAGGACTGATTCCTCGATCTGTGTGCGCATATCTCATACAACACCATATGTCGAGCTTTCCTTTTAAGTTAGAAGCAGTACTAACTACTCGCTCTTTTGTCGCGTTTCAAGTTCTCACACAACAAAAAAGAATTGACTAAACAAACAAAAACAAAGAAATATTACAGGAAACCAACTTAACGAGATATTAAAAAAATTTAACTTTATTCCCTGCTCATAATTTGACATGTGTCAAATTACGAGTTGATGATCATTGTTATAACTCATCATGTCATTCGACGTTTGCAAATCCACGAAAATAATATTTCAATTCCACTTCGTTAAAGACTAAAAAGCAAAATTCATTAATTTGCATTCTGCTTTCATTTAATGCACCAACAGACTACTGCACAGCACTCAAGGCCAAGGATTTTCGAACTCAGCTACGAGTATCATACTACAATCCTGAAGAAATAGCACCAGAAAACAGCACATAACCTGCAATGATGGGAAAAGTACTGTTGCCGTTGAAAAATTTATCCCTTTTCAGCCACTGTAACACAACGTATCAACTTCCTTAGTGATCTCTATTTTAACAAGCTTGCATATAGTGCAATGAACACTGCTAGAAATCTTCCGTAAATATTGACACAAATATGTTCCATGCCCATATTGATCAGAGAAGAATTTAGCAAATTTTATTATAAACCAGTGATTTTTTGTGGCTTCTACCAAGTCTGAAAATTTTGGCCATAATTTACTACAGTCACTTAATATCGATTAGAGAAAATTATGTTGGTAAAGTTACTTGTTTTTTTCTTGGTTCAATGTTCATGGCTATGTCTTTCAAATCTCACGTGACTTTGTATCGACATGACCAATGCTACGAGACTTACCTGGAAGTTGAAGTTGATCGAAATGTATGAGCCACTGGTCTGGAGTGAAGAAGGCACAAATCCACCCAAGTACGGACTAGAAAAAAGTACGTGTTATAAATAATTACCCTATCCAGTGTTTCCATTTTCAAGGAATTTTATTTTTGTGTTAAATGGCAGTGAAGTTATTTAACGTCAGAAACACATTCAAATAGACCAAATCTATCAACTTAATAAGCTTTTACTCCGAAAAGTTACCCATTTAAAGCAAATGAAGATGTCGTGCGATGAGCGAATCCGGTATTCTTGGGTTGCAACCAATCTCCACTGAATTACGAAACAATTTGACCCACCCACGTTGGCTGGTGACAACAAAGGCATAGATAGAAGATTATTTTGTGTTTGACCACTAACATGGCTGCCGTGACGTAACATGCAAACCATCTATAGTGTAAACGCAGCGTGAATTGGGTCAGGGTTGGGGTACGTATTTGATTTTTGCAATAATCAAGCAACAAATAATCAAACAAATTGAACAAATCAATGAGTATGGACATCAATAATCGTGACAAAGGTTATTTTTATTTAATGTTTAATACACAAAGCTCTGAGTAAAAATTGATGAATAATAAATGTTTATGGCGATATTATACTTTGTGTTTTTGATTTCCACGTTAAAACAACAACACGTATTGTTTTCAGATTGAGACGTCTTTTGTGTTGTCTTTCATGTAATTGGAATGGAACCTCATTGCAGACATTGTTCAAGATATTACAGGTGTAAATCATAAGGGAAGTGATCTTTCAGCCATCAAACTAGAGAACTTCAAACGATCCTAAGTCGCATTTCTATATTAAAAAGTAGAAACGAAATATCAAAAATAAGGGATTAAGAAATTGTTTCCGTTTTAATGCGTCTTGAAACCCGTTTCCACCGAAAATTTTTCACGAAACGTATGATTTTCGAGGTTGCCCACACCGTCGCCGGACTAAATACACAAAGTTGTAAAATTTGTACTAAAATAAACATTACATTTTTCCAACAAGAAAATTTGATCGCATCACTTGCCTTACTTAGCGCATGCGCAACCTGGAAAAGTATACGTACCGTTGAAAGTTTTCTTAAGTGGAAACTGGCCTTAAGTAAGGGAAGCAAGATGTAATATCTGGTAAAATGTTTCCTTTAAGATTGTCAAGTCTGAACTGACTCTTTTATTGATTTTCTGTCCAGTTTGAAAACAGGTTTTTGCATTTCATATGATACTTAGAACAATAAAAAATTGCTATTGTTGAACAACGATATCCATACTTTGTACACAAAGCCATGCAGAGAAAAAAAGTTAAAAATAAAATGCGTTTTATATTGACTTAGACTATAATCAGAATGCTTCGTGTCAACGAATTAGCAAATAATTCATTCGAGAAGTGCGTTTTTAAAACTTCAGAACTTCGTTTTCAAAAAGCAAATGGAAAGTTTACAACCTTCAATGTTTATATACAAAAGAAGCTTTGAATCATAGTTAACGAGTTTTTTACAAATCAACAGACATAAAGTCATATAGATTAGGGTGCGTCGGAAGTGGGGAAGCTAAGCCTCTAATTTTCTTAGAAGGGGGACAGTGCCACAAACGTAGCATTAAAATAGCAAAATCACTGCGAACGAGAATTTTTGTCATGCACGTTGCACGAATTAAAATCATGAATTTTATTCTCGAGCACATAATTTTGAAATTGACGTTAGTTTAAATGATTTACTTTTGAACTTTCATTGTACAACGAAGTCGTCTTAAAGAAAACTACTTCACAATTCAATAACAACATCTCGAAAATCAATAATGTCAACAACAACTCCCCCCTTCTGTAATAATCCCAAAGTGTCAATCACGTGAAATGCACGCGATCAGCAACAACAAAAAAAAAAACAAATGTTCATCACAATTTTCACTAATACTCTATTTTGACTACAAAACATACGTATCTACATTGCACCTGAATTTGCTCTAAAGAATCATGCAGGAACCTTTTGCAATTCTTTTATTTCATTAATTTATTATATTCGTGATTGGGCGTAGCCAAAGTTAAAATGGTGACTACTTAGCAACATATTGTAGAATGGTACATATAATTTCTATTTTATGGTGCTTCCGACGCCCCTAATAGATGTTCTAGAAATTATTTCATCACTGTATAGACTGCACAGCTATTTCAAAAGTAGCGAGGGGCAGTATATTGAAAAAAGTATGAGAAAATAATTTATGAGTGAGAAGCTAGATTTTAACCAATAAACTGCATGTCCATTGAAAAAGTGGTGGTGCGTGCTCCCCTCCCCATAGCCATCGCCATTTCTGAAGTCCTTGCACTGGAATTATCCAGTGTTAGACATAGTTATATGAATGTCTTTAAAGCTGAGTAGTTGTTAAGATTTTATTCTTTGGAAATTTCACAGCAAATAACATTGCTGAATGAATTTAAGTTTAACTTCATATAATTTTATTTGTACCTCGTCGAACTCGCCGAATATAAACATGGTAAACTGAAAATCAAGCTATTGATGTAAAGTTACAACTAAAGTTTATCAAAAACTAATAGGAAATGCAATAACACGTGTATAGATAGTAAGCCAAGATAAATTTATCAGTCAAACCTTAATGCTTTCCAGTGGATTTCTTTGTTCATCCTTATACTTGATATAACATCTATCACACACTCTTTCTTGCTTTGTGTAGCCCAGTTTCAATAAATGTACACGATGTGATGAACATTCATTACAGAATATTTGTCCACATGCTCTGCATATAAAAAATAACAGGCTGCACATGATAAGAACTTAATTTGTACGAAGATAGAAACTCTATGATTTAGGAGCAAACATAAGCAACTTTTTTATAACATTTTCTATAGATAATGAAATGAAAATTATACTAGGGCTTTGTAGTTATCGTGTTAATATTTAATATTTAATGTGTATGCTACATTGCGAACTATAAAATGTTTTTGATATTTCTTGGTACAAGAGTCAACCGACTGATTTGTCGCATAATAAGTTGTTGACAAACGGGGAAAGATTGTATTCTGAGGTAATACTTTGCAACATGAGTTGCTTGCTTCAGGATTAAAAGTTTGCTGATGAAAGAACAGTTTTTTCTGAGCTGCTTGTTTGCTGAGCTTGTAATGGTTTGTGAAAAAACAAAAAAAATTTCTTCTTTCATACATTTTATAAAACTTTTATAATGCATCAGAAAAGCCAAAGTATTTATAATAATATCAGTTAATACGTAATAATATACAGAATAACAATATAAAGGCTAACGTACCGACAATGATGCTGAATACATATCACCATGAATTTAAACAAGCAATAAAATGAAAAAGAAAAAATTTAAGTTAAAAATTAAGAAATACAAAGAAAGCCGCAAGCATAACAATAGTCCACATAAATACTACTTATTTGTAAATGATTTAGGACGTGTGTGAATGCACAATGCATAGTCAAGCTGTGGTCTTTTATATTGTATGACGTCAGCATTTAAATTCATAACATATTTGTAGGATTAAATTAAATTTAGATATGATCAAACACCGCACTGCATATAACATTCTTGCATATTTGTAGGATTAGAAGTTACTATCGCAAAGGGAAGTCCTTCTCTGCCCCACTTTCAGTAAAACTGCCTTGTATAGTCGTACACCCTTAGGTCCACAATTTCGACTACAGTGATTCGGTGTTCTAGCATATCTTGCAAATTATCTTGGATAAAATACTTCCAGACAAGTCTTGTAAGCTTCATGCGTTATGATTGCGTGATAAAAGGTTTAGCGCTTTTACATGTTTACAGTTTTCTTCATTGTAATCAACGTGCCACGTGCGAATGATGCGATGTACTGCTAACCATATATGAAATGAGTGCTCCCTGTGCTCGGAACAAACAAAGTCATGCGCTTTGAAAGCCACGGTCTACTTCCGGCATAAATATCTCCAGTGTTTATTTGCAAATTTTAAGGATGAATTGATTGTCATTTTGAATGAAAACAATTTTTTTGAGACAACAATCATATCTTCAACAATTTGCCTTTGTATTTGTCTTTTTTTGAAGAGTATGATACTTTGCTCACTCAACAGATAAATCGAACGCATTCGACGAGAAGTCATCGCATTAGGACTGGGTCGAATCATGTCAAGATTAGTGTGCTACCACGCTCAAAAACATCAATAGAGATTGAGAAAAAATTCAATCGTTTAGCGACATGACTATTGTCTTGACAGGACATTGTCATGTACCAATATTTTATGGACGAATAGTTAATTGGAGCTAAGTATCATATTTTAATGTGTTCTTACCCTTCTGTTGAAATGGGTGAAATTTACTTGGCAATCATGACATTCTTTAACGCGCTCATTCGCCACCCAGACAACTGTTTTACCAACTGATGAAGATTCGATTGTCTAACAGAGAAGTATTATCAAAGGGAAACATAAAAAGAAAATATTGTAGCAGGGTTTTGCAAAGACAAGTAGCTATACGCTTACAAAGCGAATGATTTAAATCTGGGAGTATCAATAGCTGACGTTTTGACATTCTTAGAGGTAATCTTTAGATTTTAGAATGAAGATGTCGAAACGTCAGTTAATACTAAGACCAATATAGCACGTAACAATACAGTCCTTTTCTCGAGAGGACTGTATTATCCTGGACGATCAATATCTGTAAACATGTGACAAGATCACTGACTACACAAATTTCAAGGATTTAATTACAAAGAGAAAATCAACGAGTTCACTTCAGCCAGACTAAGAACGCAAAACCAGTATAGAATAACGATGTGTGATTCGTATGAAAAAATATGTGAATTACATATTTTTAAATTAAAGAAAATGCAAAAGAAGAACACAATATACCTCGTCCAAATCAGCTAATCCAAACTCACATAACTGGTTTGACCTCCAAAACGTCTCATCGTAGCGTAAATAATAATCAGACCAAAAAAGCAGACGTCTGATGTTAGACGTCGGATACAATACCTATATCAATTGTTCATCATAAATAATGTTAGAGTGAGGTGTCAGGTGAGCAGGTCAAACGGTTACATTGATTGATAGTTCTCAGTTAAAGTCTTCCATCAACAGTAATCTTAGCAATGGCAGTATTCTGTCTAAAAATCTTCAATACTTGACCTAACATTCAACTTTGAGCACTTTAAATATAAAATTTGTTTCCTATCCAGTGTCATTGCTTGCATTTGAAATTGTAGTTAAAGACAATGACTGACATTTATACAATCAGCCAAAACACACGTCAAAATGCCATTTGAACAAGAGATAAATTCACGTACCTCATCTTTGTAAATATATTTATCATTTTGAAACTTTTTAGCGATACTATCAAGATGAGCCCACAGCGACAAAGTTGTCAGCGGTTTGTCTTCTTCAATAAGTAGTTGCCGCTCATTATTACACATGAATGTGCCAAACCTAGAAATGATTATCAAATTCCTCTACATTCCTCAACAAGTTTCCTTCCATGAAAAAAGAACTACGATTTAAAGATCTATGAATGTTTTCAAATCTTGGAAATATAAATCAAAATGTAACTTAGCAAGAATTTATATTGGAAGTCAAACTAAAAAATATCACTTTAATCTCACCATCCAGTGTTTAGCTGATCGACAATTCGTAAAAGATAATCACCGGTGAATTCAAACGCGTATGGAAACTGAACCAAAACCTGATAACAAAGAAAACTTTTAAATATTAAAAAACTTCTAATGAATTTGTGTCGATAAAAAAATTTTCAGCTTCTCCTCTAAAATGAGCACGATATTGCAACTGCAATCAGCTAAATTTACACTATTGCAATGAAATCAGCATAGCAACCGATAACAACTCCTTAAAACCATTAATTAAAACACATACTTGCCAAGCACAGTCAAGAAATTGAAGAAATATGGGTGATCTTTGATTACTGTTTGATGATGGATGACCATTTCTGTCACGAAAGCGATGACCAAATGCTGTCCACTCTTTTTCGATCAATACCTTGAGGAAAAATTAGTAACTCGTCATAAATTAAGATTGTGGTACTTGTTGTACTTTTTCGACATCTGTTTCGTTTGTTAAATAACAAATATGTTTAATATCCGACGCCTCTGGATAAATTGCCACCAGCGTCGGATACTCAGCTTCTTTTATTAAGTAAGCTCGAAAAAATGTTAAAAATGGCGGTAAACGTAGGTGGTTAGCATGTTACGTCCATTGAACTAAAATACATGGAACGCTACACAAAGCAAATAATTAAAGCCAAATCTTACACCCAGACACGCGTGTGTAGTGTTTCGAGATTCTGAAAATTGATTGACTACACACGCGTGTCTGGGTGTAATCTTGCGTATCTGGGTGTTAAATTTGGCTTCAACAATTTATTAGATTTTTCTATTACAGGTAGCGTTATATGTATTTTAGTTCAATGGTTACGTCACGGCTGCCATGTTGGTTGAATTTGACAAAGATTTTTCTTGTTTACAATTCAAATTTCAACCAATATGACGAACATATTCTTTGTCCTTTCATTCCTTGGAAAAGTGTTGCAATCCTTTTAAAGAGGCAGCTGGGTCGTTCTGTCATCCGTGGTGATAAAGGATATTAGTTGTTATTAAATATTTGCCACTACATTAAATTCCATTGTTTAAAAGTAATCAATCCCAAAATCTCTATACTCTATGTATATGGCATACATCATATAAAAATGCAAAGTACAAGCCTCGTTCCCAGCCTCTTTTTATTTTTATATGTTATATCATATATGTTACAAAATGTATAATGAAGTAAAAATTTGATAAAACCAACCTGAAATCCTTTAATGGTTCGATAATATGGATCGAGAAGTATCTGAGAAAGGGACGAAAGTTGAGCTGTTCTGTCCCAACCATCACTACAATGTATCAGAGCAGCAATACCTTTCTCATCAACATACTGAACAATCGTTATTGCCCCCTATGTAGAAAATTGTAACGTTTTGTTTTGTATTTCAATCAAATCGAAGTGGACAAAAAGAAAACAACAAACAAAAACATCGACCTTTTTATATACTGTTTTTGGTAAAAATTACCACAGACTAAAAGAACTTTGCATTTAAATATCTTTGCTCCAATATGCCTTTTTTTCATAAGAATGAAAAACTTAATCTAATTGACGAACTGCATAAAGACTGATTTCCATTCAGTGCAACTTGTCGTGCGATCCACTTTTTGCGATCACTTTCTTTTGAATTGTGTGCAGTATTGTGAAACTGTTCTGGTCGAGAGCTTATAATTCAAAAGAAAGTGATCGGAAAAAAGTCGATCGCGCGACAATTTGCACTGAATGGAAATCAGCTTTAAGTAAGCAAACTCCTCACAAATTGGCAGCAGAATTTAGGCAAGCTAATTCATAAAAGCGTATTTATCAACCATAAATCCAAAAGTCACTGCACACATGATCATATAAATTTTCTTTTGTCGCAAAACAGACAGTTCTGAATGTAAGCAATAAAACTTTAAAATTACCGAAATATTTTCTTTCTTAGCACATACCGACTCAACTAAACATTATTTTCTTTAATAAGGACGTATAAATACAAGAAAAAAATCATACCTGAAGAATTAGCGAAATATAAGCCATCCAACCAGACGCTTCAAGTTGTGAAAACCATTTTCTTTCTAACGTCTTACATGCAAGCTGAAGTTTTTCCAAACTTTGACGAACGACATGTATATTGGGAATGTTGAGAAACGTGAGCTTACATCCGGGATAACGTTCAATATCCTCTGTTCCCTTACCCTAATGTGAGATAATATATTAGTTGAATGTGTTCAGTGGCGGATCTAAGGTATGTCAGAATACATTACAACGCCTTATTTTAAATTTAAAATGCAATACCAATAATACTTTTGGTTAAAAATTTCTGGATAAAATTTTACAGCCAAGACTTTACCAATAGAAATGTTTGAAAAGTATTTTGAATTTTAAATACAACTTTTTTGATGCATTCTAAAGTACCCTAGATTGGCTACCATGCATTTATGTATTGTAGCAAACAAGGATATATAAAGACGAACCATTCATCATTTCATATCCAATTATTGTGTAGTGGCAACATAACTATACACATTTCATATTGTGGGTTAGTTATAATACATTTACAATATCCCTGCTTTCAATACTAAAATAAACTATAATTTTATCTATGTGATAATAATAACAAATGCTCTTTCTTTCTCTACATGTTTACTAAATGTCCCTCGTTACATAACTTAATTCAATTTTTACTCATTTTGATTTTCATACGATCTTTCCTGAATCCTGATGGATTGAGCAGAGGACTAAAAACAAAGTTGTTTAAACCGACTGCCATTTCTAATGTTGCCGTCTACGCTCGTGCATTAATACTTTGCTCAGATAATTTTGATTGATAAAATTGCTAAGTCAAACTTTTTCTCATCTTGTGACGAAGATGTCGACCATCTCTGTCTCTGTCTTGTTCAACCTCCAAAGTCCTGTTTCATCAATAAAGCTTTTAAGGCATCGTGACTTCCATTTACACTTGGAACTAATCTTGCCATGTCTCACATAGATAACTGCGTCAGGTTCCTACATTGCAACACCTTACGGAGACGGGTTGTGTGGAAGTGATTCAGCTGTCTCGCATGCCTCTGGTAAACAGTCCAGGATTCAGATGCAAACAGGAGAGTTGGTAATACTATGGCAGAGTAGACCTTCAGTTTCGTTGCAGTTGTGATTCCTCTACGCTCCCAAACGTTTGCGCGCAACCTGCCAAATGCGGAGCTGGCTTTGGCGATCCGGTTGTTCACCTCCGCATCAATAGTCACAGCTCTGGAAAGAATGCTCCCTAAGTATGTGAATTTGTCAACTGTCTGCAGACGCTGTCCATTCACCAGTATGGTAGGCTCAGTGTAGTGTGTATGAGGAGAAGGCTGATGCATGACCTCTGTCTTCTTGGTGCTAATGGTTAGACCAAAGTTGTCACAGGCTGCGGAAAACTTTTCATGCTGATCTGCAACTCCGATTCTGAAGACGCGTTGAGGGCGCAGTCATCAGCAAACAGGAAGTCACGAAGGATGGTCTCCTTAACCTTAGTGATAGCTTGCAGTCTACGTAGGTAGAATACGCTCCCTTCCATTCTATATTTGATGCTGATACCATCTACACCATCGTGATAAGCATCAGTTAGATTGGCAGTGAAACCCATGCTGAACAATGTTGGAGCCAGTACGCAGCCCTGTTTGACACCATTTGTGACTGGGAAGGGTTTCGGAGTATTCACCATCAACTAGTACTCTGGCCATCGTGCCATCGTGGAATTGACGAACCATCAAGATGAATTTCTCTGGACAGCCAAACTTGCACATAATTCTCAACAGGCCCTGACGGGAGACTGTGTCAAAGGCTTTTGTCAAATCGACAAAGGTTGTGTACAGATCTTGGTTCTGCTCTTGACACTTTTCCTGGAGTTGTCATGCTGCGAAAATCATATCAACAGTTCCAGGCCCTTACGAAAACCACACTGTGATTCTGGTAGCAGTCCTACTTCAAGGTGGTCTATTAGCCGGTTTAGTAGCACTCGGGCAAGAACTTTCCCAGCTGGGAAATGTTATTATCACTGTCATGAAAAGAAATCAAAATGGGTTGTCTGAGAATTGTTTTCTGTCTCAAAATATAAGGTTGATAACAAATTATATCAACAAAGAAAAATTTTAAATGTTACTGCGCGATTTTTTCGAAGACTGCTCAGTAGCAATGTACAATGTTTTCATATTTTATAATGAAAATAAACCTACAATAAACATATACGAACGACAGGCTGCCTAAAACCACCCTCCCCCCCTCTCCCCTGCTTTCGATTTGCTAAAATGCTGCCAGAGTCAGATACGCAACTTCTTTCATTATGTGACTTGAAAAGATGTTGAGAATACTAATGATGGCTGCTAAGTCATCGTGTAATTCGTGGTTATAAAGAATAGTGCTGTTTTGCCTTGATTACCTGTTGGAGTTGCATATTGTACATTTGTACCTCTTGCATTGTTACGGGAGTCTGTTCAATGGCCAACTGACTATTGCAGTGAAATTGCTTTCTTTTTGTTTTCTTTTCTCACGTGGTTTGAGCTATCTTTTTCAGCCAATGAATATTCTTATTTCAAGTGCAAATTTTTCAGATACAGCCACTGCATGCACACGTCAGAAAAAAATGACGTCCGACCATCGCCGTGGGCAAAGCCTCCACCATGTCCAAATTATTAAAATAGGGAGTGGGCACCTGTCAAATTTCATAGTTCTTGGGATTTTTACCATTACCTGCATCCTTACAACAGGAAAGTAGTAAACACCAGCGTGAACTAGATTGCAATATAAAATTTGATGCATCACAGTTCATGATGCGACAGCTCTTTCTGAAACAGCATGAAACGACTGCAATAACACTACCTTTAACACTGCCTGTAACATCCGTCGTTTCTGAATTGCTCGTTTTTTTTGTAACCACGTGCATTTCTGATATCTTTTGCAAGTTTAAAGGCCTTGGTCAACAACTCAACATCATTCCTTTTTTGCTTGTTTCTTGAATATATTTTGATCATTCGAAATAAATCGCTCTTTAGTCATGGCGCTTGCTTTGTTCAAATGATGGCACCATTGAATATGTCATGTCATTTAATAGAAAGTTATGAGATAAATATGGTTGTAATTTGCGTCATCACAGTAACACAAAAAACTCTATGTTTTGCTTCAAATATATGTTAAAAAAAACTTCAAAATTATTTTGAAAACCGTATCGGCGTTTTACCCACCATCGAGCCTTGGAATGTCAGGAAAACCAAATAGTACATTTTTCCAAACCGAGGGACACAATAAATATTTACGCGGATATAGACTTTAGAACAAGCACTTCTGAAACGGGATTCTGATTCTGAGCTATTTCGCTTGTAACTAGCTATATCCGCTTTTACCATTTTGAAATTTCATTGACACGCTTTATAAAATATTAGTCGCCTGTCCGTGATTTCAATTCGTTGGTCATTGTTCCATCACTTTTTCCACGTACGTCAGTGTCCACATTCTACCAAAATCCCTTCAACAAAGTTCCTTAGATTCTATGATTGATTAAATTTGTCTCCATTTGTTGTTTCAGATCACTTTATCAGGGTCAGGAAAATAACTTTTTTAGATAGTTAAATCCATTTTAAGAACATTTGCAGTATATTTGAAAGGGTCGAAAAGTTCATCTTCATGCGTTTTTTCCACATAGAAGTGACTTTGCACCGGATATGACGTTAAAAGGAGAACACATGCATTGAATATATAGCTTTTATAACACAGAAAAGCACTGTTATAGCAAATCTTCTTCAAAATACGCATTACAAATGTAAGATGCCGCATTGGTGTATAGTTTGATGACATCGTTCGAGCGAACAGTCAAAGAAAACTTTTAAAAAGTAAAACTATGTCTTCTATTTTTTACGTCATTTCCGGTGCGTATTCACTTACTTCTAGGGACAAAACGTTAATGAAGATAAAACTTTCGATCTCTTAAATAAATTGTAAGTGTTCTTAAAATCAATTTGACTTTCTTGAGAAGTTATTTCCCAGACCCTAATACAGGCACTTTAATAAGAATACTCATTTTTCAATCCGTAAAGTCATCATTTAAAATATGTTACAAACTAATGTTACAAATCAATATTCTAACAAATTTTAATAAGCCCTTATTAACCGAGCTCGAGGTCTTTACGGAGGAATATCGGACCGAAGCTTTTTGTAGCTACAATAAAATTTGCCCGAAGTTTCTCAGTAAAGACAAAAAAAGCGAGGTCAAAAAAAGGTTTATTATATGGCATTACTTCACCTGAAACAGTACTTTCTTTCTTTCTCGGTCGACTCACATTGGTAAATTGTTTTTTGTTTGTTTCTATTTTTCTCATTTTGCGTTTCCATTTATTTTCTCTGTGTACATTTAATTGTAAAACTACGCGTATTGGACCGTGGTCCATTACGGGAAAATAATGGACATGGGACAAAAATATTTCTGAGGCAATCAAAGCGCGCCACTTTGCCTGAAGTGACGCTTGCCTTATACTAAAGAATAACTTCACGGAAAGTAAAGTTTTAATGTTATACTTACTTTAAGTTGATTCGCCGATGCAGCTAAAATTGATCTTGCATCAAAAATCGCCATACTGTGAGATGACATATTCGAAGATAGTGCACTCTGAATCACATATTCATCATCAGCACTAAACTGAAATATCAAAATTCAAATCATCAACATGTCAGAGACAGATGACAAACCATACAGTTGACAAAGCATAAAGTTATTCTGGACGACGGAGGGGGGGGGGTGTAAACTGTTCATATCTATATTTGTCCAATGAAAAGGGAGAGGTGAGTGAAACGAAATAAAAGCAAGGAGAACAATCGTTCACTTGTCCTTGATCCAGGACACAAAGAGATGTAAAGCAATCTTTAAGTAGCATAAGATTCGACTTCAGATGGAGAACTCCATTAATCTTTTAATTTTAGAAATGAATAAATTCATGCAAACTTAAGCTGTTGTCATTCATGATGAGGGTAACAATCCACATTCATTTAAAAAAAATATTTGAAGCAAAATTTGACGTTTTGTTCTTTATTGTATATTGAGCGCAATAACTACCGCAATAAAAATCAAATCAAACTCATAAGAAAAATTAGCTCACGTGACAAAGAGTTAACATGGGTCATACCACATTACCTTTCGCCGTGGTCCAGTTCGAGGTTGAGCACAACGCATGATGAAGTTTCCTCTTCTCTTGTTAAACCAGGAAAGTACTGGCAAACGACCCTATAAACGATAAGCAACATTAGAATCTCGTTTCATAAAAGACTATCGATTATCCATTTCCACTACTATGACCATTTCGAAAGCAGCGTTGTGGTACCCATTATCATACCTTACTACGAAATGCTGCACATTTTTCAAGAATGCAATCCTGCAAAGGTTAAAAGACAAGCAATAAGTCTTACTGACCGATTTCAGAACATTTAATTCATCGCTTAATTGAGATACCCGTCCACCGCTCTAACCGTTTAAGTGCCTATATCAGAGTCAGGGAAATGACTTCTTCAGATTGTTAAATCGATTCTAAGAACACTTGCAATGAATTTTATAAGACGAAAAGTTGTCTTCATGGGTCTTTTGGGTCTAGAAATAGATGATTTAGCGCCGGAAGTGACGTACATAGACAGATAGGAGTACACACACATTGAAGATTTAGCTTTCGTGATACAGGTTTAAAGAAAATAATAATCATTTAAAAAGTAGAAGTATTCGGATGCTATTTCCCGCTAAAATTCTATAAATTTATACAGTCTTTACGAAGCTCGCAAGTTCTACAATGTACATCACTTCAAGTGCTGAGTCACCTACTTCAAACACTGATCTGAAAATATACTGGATAACGCACTCCGCTATTTCTGTGAAGCCAGAACCGCCATATTGGAAGGTCCACTTGATACGAAAAAGTGATCATAATATTAATGAAAATCATATTTCCACAAAATCTGCTATGTTTATACATGGCTTTAAGTTCCAAAAAATAACAGCAATACGTCGTCATTTAAGCTCTGTCGTATGTTAAAGTTTGTTTTCGTTCCTCAAGTGGTACTTAAAACTGCACTTAAGAAATTTATCTCATTTTCTTTTGTTTCAAATGCATTCGGCGCATGTAAATTGCTACGGTTGAAACGGGCCTTAAGATAACACTTTTGACGGATCAAATATATTGCCGATGTTCTTAAAATCAATTTAGCTGTCTAAAAAATGATTTTCCTGACACAAAAGAGATTGGAAACGAGTCAAATCATTCATAAACGGCAAGTGGGGAAAATTGGCACTGTGTTGCGACTTCATTCCAAAGATGTCGTCAGTACATCAAAAATTTAATTCAGATGCCATTCAAAAACCGCTGACTGGTATCGCAAGACGCAAGGTGCAAGCTCAAATCTCATATACAGCGTTTTCGTCCAACGTCATGATGCCATGTTCGCGTACAAATAGAAAGTACTTCAATCCATTCCTTTTGTATGGAACAACAATTTAGGTGCTTTATATATTATCATGTTCATCCTTAGAAAATGAGTGAAAGCACTCTATATATAAGGCACATGTTTTTGTTGCGCGTAGCTACAACCCTGTCACATTTTTAAATTTATGATTTACTTACGATAGTTTTGGAATAGTGTTAAAATACGGTGCCCTTATCCCTTAACTTTCAACGTTTTTTTTGTCATTTAAGTTTTGATCGTATTGTTATTGTTGTCAAAAGTCAACGATGTGAAAGAAATAGAGTTAAAGACTGCTACAGTGGCGTGAATATCTTATCAACTTGCATTTTCTATAAGACATTTGATTTGTCTGCTAGTTGGCTTCATTCATTCATTTCTATAATAACTGAAGCGGCTAAGTGGACTGAGGCAGGCGATGACGCCAAAAAGATGGATGCCAAAGGACCAATTTCCGCTGAAATGATTGCTTTGCAGAATAAAATATTCTCGACCTCTGATGTCTACAGTTAAAATCTATAGAAACTGTTTAAAAACAAACATAATAGCTTTTTTGACATTTCTATAATAACGCTATTGTTCAATTGTTGGACATCGCAGTTTCCACAAAAAGGAGAATATCGCTATCACAGGTGAAACGTTTGCTTGTTTTGCCATAACACAACCATAAAATTCGTAAGATCCATAGACACTCAATACCAAATATACTGATGTTTTCCTGTTTTTGTTTCTTTTTTGTTTTCGTTTTTGCTAATGTACATGAAATCGTAAATTAACCAATCTATTGGCAATCTAGTTTCAAAGACGACAAAAAATACCCTGAATTTTCACCTGCTGCATAGGTAACATAAAGGCACGGTCACCCCAAAGACTCATGTAGTGGAGCAGAGTTTGTTCCGATCATTTTGATGACAACATGAAGAGAAAATCAGGTAGCAAAATGTTTCTGTAAAATGGTGCAGTACCAACACTATTTTATTGATGACTATGAAGACAAATGGAAGATGTTATTGACCAGGCAGATATAGAGTCTTGCAAAAAGATGACATGGCTGAAGGTAAAGGTAGATGATTTAAAGCCTTTCCTATCTTATAGTTATTTTATCATAGTCTAATGTCCGTTATTTGTCCATGGATGGAGAGACAATGGATTCACTAAGGATGCCTTGAATACTTTGAAAGTGAAGTTCAAGTACCAAAAAAAGATGGCAGAAAATGTGCCTTTAACGGCTTCGACCTTGATGAAATGTCAATACATAAAGATGTAAAATGGTCATAATGATCGCGTTTATATGGATATCGATAATGAGACTTATGATGACTCACTACAGAATTTTAAACTGCACAATGCGGTGAGTTTGGCATAGCTAAATAGTAAAATCATGTCATGTCTTTATTAGTAGAGTCAATGCATGCTATATTTAAGCATTAAAGATGCAGTAATGAAAAGTTTCAACTTACAGTGCAATATATTTCTTCCTAATTTCAATTTTTGTTTTGAAAAAGATTTTGAAATTATTTATACCTATTAGACAACACAATGGACATTAGCCATTTGCTTTACTTCCAGAAAATCATACATGTTAAGTCAAGCAGTAACTGTCAACACTTCATTCATTTATAAAAAGCAGCATGCATATGCAAGTACATCTCCTACAATTTTGGCGAAAAGGCGATTACATAACTGATTACATGAAAGAAATAAATAAATAAATGCGAATGAATGAGCTGAGAATTCTTTCTGGAACCGTAGAGATAAACTATGAGATACATAGACTTTTTCTTTGTATAGACTATAAAGTTTAATCGAGCAAACAAGTTTGACGAAGTAATAAAACGTCGCACATCCGCATTCATATGTGTTCGTCGATGGTTATAAAAGGCTTCCCTCGTAGGAGCCGACAAGTGGAAGCCAAGCCACAGTTGACTTGATATTATGAATTTTGTTTTTACCTTGATTTTCATCATAAAAGTGCTTGCCAAATGCAAAATACACACATACTTATTCTTCACTCTTTCTTCAGAGGGGAGTGATAAATTCTGAAATTCTTGCAACGCAGTCATTTTTGGTGAATCTCAGCGGAAATTGGTCTTTTCCTCCACTATTTTTGCGTCAGTCGACAATAAAAGTCGTGATTGAGATAGCCGTTACAGCTATTATAGAAGTCAATGAAAATATGAAATTAAGACAAAGAATCTTACCGAGACACCAGTCGGCACAAAGAAAAGTCCGGGGTATGATTGACTAACACTATAATCTTTATTGATCTCAGTCATTCGCCAACTATCATTTACCTAAATAGAAAAGCAGACATGAATTTTGCGGGTAATTTCATTTTGATTTCAAATAAAAAATTTCGTGAACATCTACCCCATCAAACGAAAGCATCCAACAAAGTAACGTTCACGATAAACAACGGCTCAGTACATAACATAAAGTAATAAGCTAGGAGTATACACAATACAGTGTTGCACAATAAAAGATCTGTTCATTATATCTCAGTTTATTTGTGCAATTTCTCGATGTATTGCTAAGTTAATATGAAATTGAATAACTTCAATTTCTACAACATCACTTTTTTTCTATAGACACTTGTATTGTGTTCGGCCAGTGACGTGCTCAACTTTACGATACCTTCATGATGAATGTGAAGATTTGACCCTGTTTGACTCTGAAGATGACTACCGCTAAGGTTGTCGAAACGTCAGTCAACAACAACAAAAACAGTCCTTCTCAGGACTATACCAACTTGGACGATCTACATTTACAAACATGTAACGATACTCCCGGGTTCAAACCATTTACTTTATTGTGAAGATTTTAGTTGTAAAACGTCAACGAATACTCTTACCTCCTGCCTTTTAAACTCTTTTTCTACATCATAAACATCCCACCCGCATGAAGCACACTGAGGAAAAGCTCTAAGGAAAAAAGAAAAGTTTCAATCAGTGTGCAATATAACAGAGGAGAAATGATAGGCAAGCCCTTTTTAAAGAGTTTCAAGCAGTGACGTCACAGCTCAAAAGTTTGTCCCTGCTATATAAATAATCATGCATACTCACTGCAAAAAAATTCTAAAAAAATACAATGGATAAATCTAAACGGCGGGGATTAAAACCTACACCGTTGCTGCTTTAAGACCATGTTCTGATGTAGTTAGACAATTAATGGTATCAAAATTTAACAAAAAAACAACAAAAGTTGTCTTTTTACGTGACGAGAGAAAGCCGTCACATTAAAGTTGTCAGGTTACTTCATTGACATCAGGATTATAATTTCACCTCTTCTTTTAAAACAGGAAATTAGTGCTCTAGTTGACATGTTTGCTATAATTTGACAAAAAATCTAAATTCAAAGACTTTCAAGAACTTGAATCCCGAATTGATTTAAGATAGGGGCGCTTATTTCCTACAAAATACTAAAATACCAAACAATTTAGCAAAAGCAATCGTGATTCGTGTGATATGGAGTATACTTCAAAACCTTTCCATTATACTAAGGAACGAAAATTTAACAAAAAAATCTGACATGGTACTGCAACAAAGTAGTCACCAAAAATCAAATCTAAACTAGTGCAGCCCCCTCCTGGATTCGTCCAATTTGCTGCCTATATTTATTTTAAGTTCAAAGATATTCAACCATGCAAGTATGGTAAGTACATTAATTTCTACCGCTTGAGCATCTAAATACTCGTTTGCAAAAAAAACTTCACTTACTTGACAAATTTTTGAGAAAAAGATATCTCGGTGTAAGTATGTATAAGATGGGTGAGACGCACATAGAGCATATTCGCATATTTATGAACAAAACTAGAAGAAAAGAGATAAATCAAAATCATTAAATAATTGAGAAATGAAAAAATTTTATGTTTTGTCAGGAGAGAAACGATGTTAGTCTGTATTATGTGTCATATGATCCAAGCTCTCGTGTTTCCAGTAGTGTTTCCTAAAAGTTTGCAAATGAGCAGTTGTAATGCGCAACTGGACGTCTACTGCCACATCAAAAAAAACAATTCAAGCTTCTTGAGAATCATTAAAACCCATAATGGAGTACAGCAAGTAGTTGAGATTTAGACCCTTGGGTTGCGAAACGCAATAGTACCTCAAATCTTTTATTATAACACAATAATTTAATGGAAATCTCCCCAAATAATCATTTTCAAAGACAAGAAAAAAATGCCAATAATAAGTATGTAATCAACATCAACGTCAATAGTGTCCATGATACATCATTATTTCTTCATTTGCTAAGCTTTCGGGCAACATGTATTTTCCGCAATATTTTATCAAATTTGTATACATATATATGATGTTCAACTTGAAATAAAAACCTTGGTCGAGTGATGGGGTTTTCATTTTCCTCTTTCTCAACTTGTTCATCCAACACGTTGCTCGTCGTTGAGTTCGGAGTGAAAATACCTTGAACATTTACTAACATTTTCGCAATATCACTGAGAGAAGCGAGGGCAGAGAATTTGCCTAAAAAAGAGCTCTCGTAAATATGTTGCTTAAGAAATTATATAGCTACTATTTATGTGCTGACATTAAGACCATATAGGAAGTATGTTCAGATTTTGTTTGATTCCAAAATACTATCCTCAAACACAAAGTTCGATCTAATAAATATGTACGTAGTACAGCGATCTGTAAACTTAACAAAACGATGATGGTGAAGACCTTGATTTAAGATCATGTTAACATGACTGAATCATATTTATAAAACAGAGAGTGTGAGCCAGCAAACTGTGGTAAAGACCAAAATCCATCTACAGACCTACAGACCAGTGCCGCATTAACCAATGCCAAAAATTTTTAGGCCGCCACAATTTTTTGGAATCAAAAGTTTTTATTTTGAACATGATATTAAATTAAAAAAATACTATACGAAAACAGACCTTGTACTTAATTGCCATCGCAAAGAATTTATTGTTTGAAGTGAAAATCTTTACTCCAATGTAGCTTGATAATATTTCATTATTGAAAAGTCATTGGTTTCACATCACTCTCATGCTTTGATTTACTTTTTATGTAGCAGTCCAAAGCGACATTTTTTGATCTTCAGCAATTTGATTGGCTGCCTGAGTGGGCAGCTTTTTACGATATTTAACTATAGGGGAAAAATAGATACGACCGATATTTACAGTTTAGGTTGGTCCGTACTTAAAAAATATTTTCTCTCGGTGAAAATATTTATTTTCCGAACAGACCTTCCAGCCAGTAAATAACATATATGTATTTTCTTACGTCTTGCAAAGCGCGGAGAATGTTGACTTGGTTGAGCTGCCTCGTTAACAATCTCTTCTTCTTCCAAATCATCATCTTCACACAGTGACCAGCCGTCGATATCTTTATAATCGTTGCAACTCACGTGTAATTTCTTGGTTTTAGCACTTGGACTGTCTTTAGATATTCGTGACGTCATCTCGCCACGCGTCGGATTGAAATTGGGAATGAGTAATGACTGCTTGAGGGTTTCCGTCAAACTAATAGAGGGTTGAGCTGTTTGGGTGAAGTCGACGAAAGTAAGACGTATTACACGAAAGTCGCAGCATTCTAATGTAAGACATTTAACCACAAAAATACGACGATTTCCAGACAATGTTTTACGCACGGCCTAAAAATGGACAGTAAGCACAGGATTATAGTCAGTGAGCTTAACAGAAAACAATTAGTGATTTGGTAGCAACTATTAAGATGGATAATAATCATAGGGTAAGAAGACAGTTACATGATTTATTGTAAGATATTATGTCTCAACATCCCATGTGATTTAATTAATCACAAAATAAGAAAGATTTGACGAGATGTCACCCAATTAAACGCATATCCCAACAACTTTTACAAAACTATATCAAAACTATATAATCAAATTCAAACGGAATATTTCTTATAAGAGTAGGTACATAATTTTCTGCACAAGCCGTAATACATGAACAAGTTGATTAACATTACACCCAGCAAGAAACAGTTTTAACTCAGAGAGCTTTACGACACGTGATATTGTTCCTCAGCACGTGACATGGCAGAAGTCACAAGATATGTTAAGTCAAAAAGCTATTAAACAAATCTTAGACGTACTTGGTACCTTTTCATCGACTGCCTTGTTAACTGACCGAATATTCTTGAAAGCAATCCACATGGAATGTTCCTTGATTGATAAGAAATTATAAAATCACCGTCAGTTTAGTTTGACCCAAAATACAAGTTTTAATATATAAGTACGCAGTTTTTGCTGACAGTAAATCATCACAAGATTGCAGTAATCAATAATTTTGAGTAAATGATTAAAATAATGACTATGTTCACTAGAAAAGTATACACTAAATTTCATGCTGTGCTAGGGGATTGGGTACAGTGGAGTAGCCAGGCTGTGAAATTAAGTCCTGCAAGGTTAATATTCCTGTGCTTACTTACTGTAAAAACAATAGTTTTCTAAAGAAATGAACAATGTTAATGATCTGAAATTTACATAGCATGAACAAAACTTGGGGGTTGCTACGCTGCTTGAGTACGAGCATGACAAAGTTTATTTCATTTATGAGAATGTGATAGATTGATTGATTGAAATCAAAACATGACTACAGATTTCTGCGCCATTTATGTAGAAAGACGGTAGTTACCTCCGATAATTTGTCATTCGTTTTACACATGATGAGAAGTCTGAAATAGAAGTTGGTGTAAATGAATGTAAAACATTTTTAAACCGCCCGTTCCCCTTTATCTGGACAATCATTTATTACGGTAAAGCAATAAAATATTCGGCTCGGGGAAATTCAGACAATTCATAATATCAACGTGATTTACTGTTCGTGCAAAATAGGTAACTTGATGTTACATTGACATTCACAGAGAAATGAAGTTGTCTATTTTTGGAGGATGGCCTATGCCAGATTTTTTCAAGAACGAGGGCTACTTAATTTACAAGCTGAAATGAATGTAGGGTATCTTTCTTTTTGACATTGAAAAGTAAGTCATTACGTTGTAGCATTGCAAAAAAGGCAGGTCAAAACATCAATATAATTTTCAATTGCAATAAAAGTAAGAAACCATTTTACTAAAATTCATTTACCTATAATTCGTTAAATAAACTGTACCAACGTCACGATGTTTGCTAATTTCAACAACAACATTCTCCAGTACCATTTCAACACGTTCTGTTTCACCTGTGATACGAAAACAAGACATCTTAACATTTTATAGACGGGAAACAAATAAGGTTTTACGTTCAACGAGCCTTTCTAGTGATACATTACATAATACTCAAGACCTTTGTAATCTAAGAGAAAAAATTTCAATGCAAAATTGTACATATCTACAGCATTGCTTAGGCTTCAAAGTTAAATATAGAGATAAGAAGATTTTAATCCAGTCAATTTTATACTTAAAACTATGAAATATATTTTCCATGGAAAAGATTTTCCCGCTTAAAGCATTTAAAATGGGCGATTTTAAAATCAGACAAATGAAAATTAGAAAATAGAAAACTTTGAGTTTCACTTTGTGCTTAGTTACCTTGACCCCTAGCCCTAAAAACACACAGCAGCTCTTTGTCAAAACCCTTTTTTTCTACAAATACGCTAAGGAGTAGTTATTCATTTAATACATAAAGAGAACAGTCATGTTTCTTGAAGTTTCCAACGAATGTCTTTTTTAAGGTCAAGCACACAAAAAATGTTACATGTATTCTGGTATTTATTACGAAAATGTATAAGTTCAAAACCAAAACAATGAAAAACAAAGAACGACAAGATTATAATAATTTTTCCAAAAATTAACACATACATACCTGGGAAACTAAAGGAATCTGACGAACTTTTTATGGACAGTTCGAACTCTGGCAGTTCATCACAACTTTTATGAAGCTGGTCATCTACAATCCATTTTTTGATTGGCTAAAAAATATAATATATCTTACAAAATGTGAAGACAAAAAATTACGCAATTTTGAACAATTTTATGATAAAAAAGACAAGTATTGCTTCCCTAAATTTTACATGCAGAAATGGTTAATAACTTAATAAGATGATTTTTTCCCAAATAATACATATTCTTCCACAAATACCTTATTTAATTAAGCATATTAATGTTAGATTAGCTAATTTACTAAAGGATGCGCAAAATAAAGGGGGAAGTTTTACTACATGGGATGACAAATTATCCAATTGTGTAATATTGACATCATTATTCACAGGCCATTGTAACGTTAAACATGGAAATAATTTTTTGTTTACAGGATTAAAAATCACAAAGCACAATATTTTTGTTCAACATTCACCGAGAGTATGACAAAACAATCAAGCTATCCTTGCCATTTGCCAATGAAATTCTTACCAATTGTGATTTTATACGAAGTTCAATATATATTTCACCAGTAAAATCTGCATCACGTGATGAGGTTCTTCCAAGGGAAAACCAACCACACATCGTCTCGTGACTTAGCAAAGACACTGGGATCATCACTCTCCCCATGAAATCATCCCGATTCAAAGTGTCTTTATCCCATACATCAATGATGACGTAATAAACCACGGCTGTATTAGTGACGTCAATATCACAAGCCTCACCTAATCAAAAAATATTATCTTAGTGAGAATGATATAAAATTTTAAGATAATATTTCACAAAGTTGTTAAATTCGGGAGATGGTCTATTCAGAAAAATTGAACATACGAGAAAAATTTTAGGCCGAATGTCGTCATCATCACTACATAAATATTTGTTCTCAAAATGAATAATTACGTTGTTGTTTGTTGATTTAAATGTTTATATGAAGTGAGAAATTAATGATGCGAGGTCGTGTATATGGTTTATACACTTTTAATCCATCAAAGCATTATGGGTAACATGCAAAGACAGCTGAAAGTGTTGTTTCTTCCTCATGTTTTCATCTGACGTCTCGCAGACAAATCAGAAAACTGCATCCTTGGTGTAGCAAATACTCAAATAGTACAAATACAATGTTTCAACAAAAACAATGAAAGATACCACTCATCCTTAATTAGACAAAGAAGTTCGGTATCTTATTCATAAGTAGCCACGCAGCATTAAATCCAAAAAAAATGAGAGGAAACAAAGTAAGTATATAAAGCTGAGAGACATCGAATTAAGATAAATCAACCAGATTATCGAGTCGGTTGGCTGGTCCAATGCCACGACTTTTTAGACGTTCTACCATAAACATATTAATAATTTTGAAGCCAGTAGAGAATAATTAATATATTCTGTTAGCCTGTAATGTATAATATAAACATGACAGCACAAATTGTTAGCTTTCCTCTCAATGATTAGATTCTAACCTTGATTTCATTGTTCATCGTGGAATCCTATACAAGCGGTTATGACGTGGTAAAATTTAAAAATCAATCATTGAATTGTACAAGTCATCAGCTGGGAGTGGAAGAGATGTATGCCCGAACACATTTTTTTAACATTACACCTACCCAACTCTTCCACTCAAAGAATGATCTCAGATTCTCTTTAAAATGTAACTAACTTGCGCATGCGTGTGCACTCTCTCATAAAACCACCCTACAACTCTTCCCTCCCTCCCACCTGATGACTTGTGAAACTCTTGTTTAATTTTTAAATTTTCCTCTGTGGTACTCCATGTGATAACTACAAAACAACTTCCAGTCAATTACAGGACATTGTGAAGAATGTCAGGAGACAACAACATTTGATGAAAAGCACGACATGGGGTGGTTAAATTAAAATACAAAACATTAATGACATAAAGATGATATCTGTATTTTTCTATTTTGGTGAAAAATACTCAATACTCAAAAGTCAAAAATCAATATCATAAAATGTGGTTAAAATTTAATAATTTTTTAAGGCAATATATTAGTAACACAAGATTTTTAATAGTCAGCATATAACAACAAACTAGTCTTCAGCAATTTTCATTGAATTTTGGGATAGCAGTTGTTCGTTTCATGGGGTAAAGGGATTTTTCTGGATTATACCAAAATATTATGACCAAAACAATTAAATTTTTAATTTGCATAAAGTACAAAACATTGCTAAAAAATTTGATAAAAGTTATTTAAGTACAAAATTTGGTCACACTGCTTCTTTTTTGTCTGATCCCAAATAGTGGAAAATGTGCATAGTGACATTTTTGCATACAGATTTTATGTGTTCTCATAACCTTAATTTGGTAACAATTCATTATCTCACGAAATAAAATGATTTCTTGGACATGGAATTTCCTATTTGACAAGCACTTTGTGACCTAAATGTAATTTGTGACATAAGACGTGCCACCTGCATTTAAGGGAAGCAACCCATTAATATATGATCTTCCAAATTATAAGAAAGTATATGAGAAAGATATATGTACCATGTGATTGAAAGTGAGGTCCATGGCAGAGGGAGAAAATAAAGGTTTCATTCCATTCAGGATCAACTGTGTTGTTTTGTACAGTTGTCTTTGCTTCCTCATCACCAACTGTGATGATACAATATGGATCTGACTTCCCACCAACATCCATGCCAATAAGATTACGCCCAGTAATAACTGAATTGAAATACATGTTTGTCAGTAGTTTTAAATAAAAGATTTTTTTTAAGTTTACACAATGGATATATTTTATATTAAGTTTAGCTTTATTGTCATGGATCACAGATTCTTCAATATGAAAAACAATTACTGAAATGGCAGTTGAAGATTTGTTTGTATAAAAAAGCTTTTCTCAAACCAGCCTGTAATTGCTGGACATGATTGGCACATGTTTTAAAGTCAAATTATCTGTTACAAAAGATCAATAGAACATTTATTGAGTGAAAGAATTTTTACCTTCAGCAAAACTATATTTACATTAACTGTGCCTTTAATATAAAAAGTATTGGAATTTTTGAAACATTAGAAAAGAAGGTTTAAACTGCTTTTTAATTAATGTAATTAAAATGATGTTTGCCGAGTTTAATGAAAGTGGATTTTGTGATGATAAATAACATTTTCATTATTTTCCAAAGGAACATGTCTTGCTAAGCCTCCCATACTTAATTCATTGTGCAACAATCAACAAAAGAAAAACAAAATTTATAAGATACTAGAATGGATTATACATTGTATAAATACTAGGCTATTTATCCCCAGTAGGCAGTTATGGTTTCCACAGTGGCAAACTTTGATTACCTAAAATGATCCTAAATGTTACTGTAAACATTGTTTTTTTTTGAAAATGTATTGGAACATATCAGTCTTGAACATGGCTCAATGAAATACAGCTAGCTATATCACAGGCTAATCATTACAACTGTTGGAAATGGCACAATTAAAACATATTTTCAAAATTTCTTTAATATTATTGAAGGAAATCTTGGACCCACAACACTTATATCATTTTAATTAGACAAAATTTAAGGGACGCATGCCCTATATAAATTTACCCATAAATTTATATTGCTTTTCAGTAAGGAGAGAATGTTACAAAAAAAAACAAGTGGCCTTCTGTCATGTTAATGTTTGTATCATTTATGCCAATCACAACAAATACATGGACTGTTAAGTCAACATTGCATGTAATATATTATCAAGCTGGGAATGTTACTATCAGTCTGTGACCTTCTCTTCAAACTATAAGTTGAGAACTACTCTTCAAACTATAGAAGAACTACTCCTCAAACTATAAGTTGAAAATTGCAAGTTAAATTTTGATGTTAACATCAAACACTAAGCATCACAAATGTTTCTGGAGAAATAGTTCTGATAATGACTAAGTATATTTTTTCGCCATTTCTCAATTAAAAAATAACAAAAAATCTTAGTGTACCTCCAACAATAAGTTGACCAGTCATACTGCTAATTTTGCTTGGTGTTATTTTTGGATGATTCACGTTTGTATCTTCCCTGTCGCTTCCATTTTGAGTCAAAGAGTTATCACTGGTTGTGGGCATCGGTAGGTAAAACATGGTACATACATACCACAATAATCTCTTTACTGATGAAAGTTACATTGACAATTCGCCGACCGCAGCGTTGTTATATGACAAGTAACAAGGCTGAGATGACGTTGTGACTCTGGAAATTCAATAGCTGAAGAGGACGAAAGACGAGAAAGTACATCATATTTTTTAAATAACGCTGAAACGGCTGAAACGTATTTGAGGTGGGAGGTTCATATAAGGAAGTGACGTTTTGGGGAAAACGTGTACCCATGGTGTACCTGGAAAAAATTATTTTGGCAGTATGGCCGCATACGTTTGCACAATGCCAGTATTTTTTTTTAAATTTGCTCTAGATAAGATGGGCTTTTCAGTTTTACCAGAAGGCAGCAGCTTTTCACCTGGAAGGAATGGATAGGAGTCGCAGGATCTGGGAGTGCACCATTCTAAATCACTCGCATTTTGGTAGCACTGATGTCACACTACAAGATCTCCTTATGGGAGATGACATTTATGTAGAGTGTCCCTGGTGAGGAGGTGGGGTTGAATTTTGGGAGATGCAGCATTGGAATGATTGAGAAAGGAGCACGTCACACTTGGCATAAACGGAACACTTACGGAATGCGTGCAACTCAACAGGTACACTGTGCAGAACTATTGTACATAGTACATTTATTAAAAAATAAACCGACATCATTGACTGTCTTTGACTTACATAAATTCAAATAATCGCGCTAGCGAACTGGAAACGAAAGTTGGAAAATTGGAGGGAGGGCTATGTTTTTTCATAGTTGTTTTAGTCTCGGGATATTTTGGGGGCTTACATGTGCTTGGGGTACATAATAGGTGATGCGTATTGGGTTTGTACCCATTTGTACAACGGTTTGTGCCAATGCCGATGGTTTAAATGTTTGTACCATTGTGGTTTGTTACAGTTGGCAGGGTTGGGTGACCTCGATTGAATTTGGCTCAAAATATACTTTGAGAAAGTCAGATAACATTAAAAAATTCTTACAATCAATAAAACCAATTATTGCTGCTTGTTTTCCAGACATAAGACTTCCTAGATTTATAAACGTGCGTTTTGCATTAACTGGCAATTTTTACATAAAGTGCTTTAGTATTATAAACAAAATGGATGAAACTGTCCCTCATTTGAAAGATTTGTGCGTTGTTTATCCATCTTCAAGTGATAAAGCAAAGCTCAGGCAAGTTCATTTAGAAACAAGTTCATTTATTTAACACAAGCTTTACTTGTGCATGATTCCAGTTTCTTCAAAGTAAATTTTGTAGGATATGATCAGAGATCGCCATAAATTATTTTACAATCATTCCATAGATGTTACAATTTTCTTCCGTTTTACTTCCTTACCAGCGTATAGAATAAGAAAGTGTCAACGTTTGTGTTTTTTATAAGTCATGCTTGTTCTTGAATAAGAAACCAAACAACCATGCGTCAATTTTTTCGTTGCAAGTGTGTCGAGTTTTAGTCACATTTGCCGCACGGATGTTGTTCAACAAAATTTCCTACAGATTGTATGATTCAATGATTTGTTATTTAATTCTCAATTGGTATTGGATTGAAGTCTCTCCCTTATGAAACGACCAAATGGCATGGTTGTTGAATAAGTGTCACTAGGCTCTTGGGATTTGGTTGTTGGTGATTACAGCATGTTTTTATGGCAAACTATGTTTTGATTTTACAGAAATGAACTTGTTATAAAAAAGTGTTTGTGATGGGTTCAAACCACTTGCCACTGCACAATCTATAGTTCTTTCTTACATCAAATTAAGATGTAGATCTACTTGATGCAAAATTTCTGTCAATTTTTGGGTATTGTCTTTAACCACCTAACATGATCAATACTTGCTGATTATAACATTTGTGTTCTAAGATAGTAAATTTATTTGTTTACACAGATTAAAGGCACTAAAGAAGGAATTTGAATCTCTGTATTCAACGACCCCAAATTTTTATTGTAGAGCACCTGGAAGAGTTAATATTATTGGTAAGTTATTCTGAAAATCCTGATTATAATCAATGTAGGTAAACTGTCATTTTGCCTAATTAATCCTTCACAAATTAGAAGAGTGAATTTCTCTTACTGTTAGCAATGAAGAAATTTCTGTTATTGATGGGTTTGGAGGTCTGGATATAAAATATATTTTTCTGAGGTGTCAGGGAAATATTTATCTATCTTGACAGAAAAAAATTTTTAGTAACATAATTTAGTTCTTAGGTAAAGGCAGATATATTTTTCAATTGTGAAGTCAGATTTAAGAATAGTCGCTAAGAAAACTGTCAAAGCCTTGCTAAAAATGATTACTGCAATCAAAACTTGGCTAGTAAGTTCCTTTGTAAAACAAAACAATGCAAAACAAAACAACCCTTCACTCAGGTATTTAGCAAGAAGATTCAGGACCGCAGTCTAAGAAATGAAAAAAGTTTGTTCATTTTGTTCTAGCTTCACTTAAATTCATTTTCTCCTGTAGTTAATTTTCAATAATGATGAAAGTTCACCTTTTATAACGCATTTGATATTTTGTATACAAGTTACATGATGTTCATGGTAAAAAAATTAAGGAAAATCAAATTTGCTTATTGAACAATGTATGAAATATAACACAAAACAAGGACTTCTTGTAGGCTCAAAGACAAAATTAAGTTAAAAGTTTAGACTATTTAAACTGTAATCTTTCTTTATACTTTATGAGTTAGTCATCTGGTCAAGGATTACTACGAATGTTTTTAGAGTCATTGTCACATGGTGAAAAAATTTTAATATATAACATATAAAAGAAATGAGAATCACAAATCAAACTGAAAAACTGGGATTTAATTAGAATTAGAGATATTGTTGCCATTGAAGTGCCAGCCCAACAAATAATTTTCAACATAGTTATAAATAATTTGGTTTTGTGAAATTTATTAAAATAGTGATGTCTTGAGTCAAGACGAAACGTCACTATTTTAATAAATTTCACAAAACCAAATTGTTTGTGACTATATTCAAAATTATTTGTTGGGCTCTAATATTCATATTTAGAATTAGTGAGTATGTATCTATATTTTTGCTAAATGACACAGTAGTGACATGATATTTTTCACTGTATTTAGCTGTGTTGAGAACTACACTTTATCAAAAAGATTTAAATATTTTCTATCTACTCGTTTTTCCAGAAATTTATTTTATGATTAGCTCTATCATTTCTGTATTCAAGCTCAACCTCATGAAGTAATAGTTTTATCCCCTATGGACTATGTGGATTACTGAAAGATTGTGAAAATTCTTCAATTATCTTATCCTATCTTCTTTTGGAAGATAGTAATGCTGCATTTCAACAGACAGTTATATTTTCAGAATTGCTGAGAGAAAATAAGACATCAAAATCATTCTAAGTAACATATTATTACCCTGGAGAATTAACATGGCGAATAGCAGTTCTCAATTGTAATTTATTATAAATTGGAAATTCATCTATTTGCCATGACCAACCACAATTTAAAAGACGAAGTTAATAAGTCTCTAAAATAATAAGTTATTGTATAATGTCTGACCAAGTAACTTTCCAAATGCTTTAAGCTGCATTGAAGCTTTTGTTAAAACAGCGTCTACAGTAGTAAAACTTTCATTAAAACATCGTCTACAGTAGTAAAACTCTCATTAAAACAGCGTTTATAGTAGTAAAACTTTCATTAAAACATCGTCTACAGTAGTAAAACTTTCATTAAAACATCGTCTACAGTAGTAAAACTTTCATTAAAACATCGTCTACAGTAGTAAAACTTTCATTAAAGCATCGTCTACAGTAGTAAAACTTTCATTAAAACATCGTCTACAGTAGTAAAACTTTCATTAAAACATCGTCTACAGTAGTAAAACTTTCATTAAAACATCATCTACAGTAGTAAAACTTTCATTAAAACATCGTCTACAGTAGCAAAACTTTCATTAAAACATCGTCTACAGTAGTAAAACTTTCATTAAAACATCATCTACAGTAGTAAAACTTTCATTAAAACATCGTCTACAGTAGTAAAACTTTCATTAAAACATCGTCTACAGTAGTAAAACTTTCATTAAAACATCGTCTACAGTAGTAAAACTTTCATTAAAACATCGTCTACAGTAGTAAAACTTTCATTAAAACATCGTCTACAGTAGTAAAACTTTCATTAAAACATCGTCTACAGTAGTAAAACTTTCATTAAAACATCGTCTACAGTAGTAAAACTTTCATTAAAACAGCGTCCACAGTAGTAAAACTTTCATTAAAACATCGTCTACAGTAGTAAAACTTTCATTAAAACATCGTCTACAGTAGTAAAACTTTCATTAAAACATCGTCTACAGTAGTAAAACTTTCATTAAAACATCGTCTACAGTAGTAAAACTTTCATTAAAACATCGTCTACAGTAGTAAAACTTTCATTAAAACATCGTCTACAGTAGTAAAACTTTCATTAAAACATCGTCTACAGTAGTAAAACTTTCATTAAAACAGCGTCCACAGTAGTAAAACTTTCATTAAAACAGCGTCTACAGTAGTAAAACTTTCATTAAAGCATCGTCTACAGTAGTAAAACTTTCATTAAAACATCATCTACAGTAGTAAAACTTTCATTAAAACATCGTCTACAGTAGTAAAACTTTCATTAAAACATCGTCTACAGTAGTAAAACTTTCATTAAAACATCGTCTACAGTAGTAAAACTTTCATTAAAACATCGTCTACAGTAGTAAAACTTTCATTAAAACATCGTCTACAGTAGTAAAACTTTCATTAAAGCATCGTCTACAGTAGTAAAACTTTCATTAAAACATCGTCTACAGTAGTAAAACTTTCATTAAAACATCGTCTACAGTAGTAAAACTTTCATTAAAACAGCGTCTACAGTAGTAAAACTTTCATTAAAACATCGTCTACAGTAGTAAAACTTTCATTAAAACATCGTCTACAGTAGTAAAACTTTCATTAAAACATCGTCTACAGTAGTAAAACTTTCATTAAAACATCGTCTACAGTAGTAAAACTTTCATTAAAACATCGTCTACAGTAGTAAAACTTTCATTAAAACAGCGTCTACAGTAGTAAAACTTTCATTAAAACATCGTCTACAGTAGTAAAACTTTCATTAAAACAGCGTTTACAGTAGTAAAACTTTCATTAAAACATCGTCTACAGTAGTAAAACTTTCATTAAAACATCGTCTACAGTAGTAAAACTTTCATTAAAACAGCGTTTACAGTAGTAAAACTTTCATTAAAACATCGTCTACAGCAGTAAAACTTTCATTAAAACATCGTCTACAGTAGTAAAACTTTCATTAAAGCATTGTCTACAGTAGTAAAACTTTCATTAAAGCATCGTCTACAGTAGTAAAACTTTCATTAAAACATCGTCTACAGTAGTAAAACTTTCATTAAAACATCGTCTACAGTAGTAAAACTTTCATTAAAACAGCGTCTACAGTAGTAAAACTTTCATTAAAGCATCGTCTACAGTAGTAAAACTTTCATTAAAGCATCGTCTACAGTAGTAAAACTTTCATTAAAACAGCGTCTACAGTAGTAAAACTTTCATTAAAACATCGTCTACAGTAGTAAAACTTTCATTAAAACATCGTCTACAGTAGTAAAACTTTCATTAAAACAGCGTCTACACTAGTAAAACTTTCATTAAAACATCGTCTACAGTAGTAAAACTTTCATTAAAACAGCGTTTACAGTAGTAAAACTTTCATTAAAACATCGTCTACAGTAGTAAAACTTTCATTAAAACATCGTCTACAGTAGTAAAACTTTCATTAAAACAGCGTTTACAGTAGTAAAACTTTCATTAAAACATCGTCTACAGCAGTAAAACTTTCATTAAAACATCGTCTACAGTAGTAAAGCTTTTATTAAAGCATCGTCTACAGTAGTAAAACTTTCATTAAAACATCGTCTACAGTAGTAAAACTTTCATTAAAACATCGTCTACAGCAGTAAAACTTTCATTAAAACATCGTCTACAGTAGTAAAACTTTCATTAAAGCATTGTCTGCAGTAGTAAAACTTTCATTAAAACATCGTCTACAGTAGTAAAACTTTCATTAAAACATCGTCTACAGTAGTAAAACTTTCATTAAAACATCGTCTACAGTAGCAAAACTTTCATTAAAACAGCGTCTACAGTAGCAAAACTTTCATTAAAACATCGTCTACAATAGTAAAACTTTCATTAAAGCAGCGTCTACAGTAGTAAAACTAAACGAAACGAGCATTATTTCGTAATGAATTTTCACGCCAGGCTTACTCCGTTTAGATTTTATTGGTTATAAAGTTTTGTATATTTATCTAGTCTTTCGACACTAATTTTTTTTATGATTACTCTTGATAAGAGACAGTCAACAAATAGATTTTCTTTGCGGCAATCACGGACTTGTTTCGAGATGCAGGGAGGGGGGCATTACTCTTTTATGAAAACGAAAATTCTTGCAAAATGTGATTAATGAGATTTATCATCATTGTAAATACCATATGGATATTGCGTGAGATGAAGTCGCTACGAATATAATTTTCCTTAATTTGCTAGAAGAAATTTAAAACCATCGCATTTTATATGATGAACAGTTTGTGGCGATTTTAGGAACCAAAAATCAATTGCAATGGAGCGTGGGTAATCGAGGGGTTTACACCTTCGCTGTAGAAGTCTACGAGTGCCAGGTGAACCTTATTTGTCGACAACCCCTAATATATATCACTTTTAATGCTTTGTTTTAGGAGAACACATTGATTATTGTGGATATGGCGTCTTACCTATGGCTATAGAACAAGATATAATAATGGCCGTCGTTCCCAATGACAAGGAACAGATTGTCCTTGCAAATGTTGACAAAAAATTCAAGTAAGTGGACGCTGCTGATTTTTAAGTTTTCCTGCCTCAGCTGTTTAAACCGTAAAATGTTGATCATTGTTTATTATTTACTGAATTTGTTAGTCTATTCAGTGACGTGCTAGAAACACTTTATTTCGGGCGGGGAGGGGGAAGTTGCTAACCACTGAAACGCGTCCTGAAACGAGTCCCAAATATATGAGTAGAGCTCTGAAGGTTACGAATCATGCTTCGGTGATGCGGAGTATGCTCCTCCGAAACTTAAGAACTAAAGTGTCATTTCCTGGACTTTGGAGAGTGAAATAGTACCAACAAAATAATTTCAAATGCGTTTATCCCACGCAAATTCAAAATTTGACGCCCCTTGTTCATTTCACGCCCCCCTGCCTCCACCCCCCTTCCAGTACACCACTGAGTCCATTGAACTGACTATATGACTTATCATTTGCTTGCATGAAGCTAAATTTTACCTCAAGAGACTTGAATTTTTATCAGTTTTCTTTGGGTCGAGCGTGAAAAGATTAGGTCAAGTTGAAGTGCTGATTTTAAATTTTTGAGGCAGGTAAACATCCAGTGATAAACGGTTCAATGTGTCATTCAAGTTTTATTTATTGTACGGGCATTATTTCAGCCAGCGCACGAGCTCTAGTCCTGCATTGTGCATTTCAGGACATTTGTATTATTCAGTTCTTTTGCAAACCTGTTAAACAGGAACTGGCGTACCTTAAGTCATATGTGTGAATTATTCGCTATCGAATTAAATTAAAGACTACATTTTACTGCAATATACTTCTGTAGTCGGGACCAATCACGAATGCCCCTGTATGTAGCTTACTGAATACTAATGATTTATTTCCTTGTTGCATGTGCGTATTGAAGTATACTACTGGGTTTATAAAAAAACTGAACAGTTAAAAAAACGTCGCTAAGTTCATCAGCAAGGAAGATTTGCAAATACATTAGGTGAAAATTGTTATTTGGACTTGCAATGGTTCACCTGACAAAAGTATGGCAAATAGTAACCATTTTTTAGAATGAGAATTGTGTAACGTTTGCACTTTTGGTATGGCTTGATGACGAAACCGACGCAGCTAAAAAGCGATTGGAACACATTGGGTTTAACTATGGCACATGTTGTTCAAGCTCATCAAGTTTTATTAAAAGCATGTAAAGCGTACGAAAATGTTCAGCTGTCATATTTCAGGTTGTTTAAATTATTTGTTTCCAATGACTTTTTTTTTATAATCTGTATGATTTATGCTTATAAATTTAGGTTGAAATGAATGTGAACATGAATATAAACGTGACAAAGGTTTCAAAAAAATGGCATTTAAAAGGCAAAACGCAAAATAGTGTGCGATTTTGTAGCGTACGCTTTGGCTATAAATTTAATGAAACATTGTTAGCTTTTGGTCAACATGTTCCATATCTATTTTGAAACCATGCATGTTGCAATTGCTATTTAACTGTACCATTTTCATGCGCAAACTATTTCAAAAGCTCTTCTCAACCTGTGTTAAACACCTGCGAATTTGGTCGTTGCACGTAATTTTTGTTCCCTCTATGCAAAAAACAAAACATTTTTTAAAAAATAGGAACAAATAAATAGTGATAGTGCTCTGAAATTTCCATAACTCGTCTAAAAAGTTATAGATGAATATAAATGAATAGAAAAATGAAAACAATGGTAGCTATGAATTGTTATTTGTTTCAAAAACACATGTGATGTTGATTTGAAGATTTTTTTATTTCGCAGGAGTTTTTCAGTAAATATTAAGGATTACAAGATTGATGGTAAAGAATGGTTTCACTATTTTCTCTGTGGTTTCAAGGTACCAATGCTGTAGTTACTTCATGTCTATCTTCATTATCAATGATTTTTATTGCCTAATATGTTATGGTGTTTTTTTTGCGTACATTGAGCCGTATGTTAACTGTTTTTACATAAAAGTTTGCCTTTTACCTGGTTTACATGAAAAGTTGTAAGGTGAAAGTTGACTTTGGAAATTGCTGTTATTGCATGTACGTAGATATTTGGCATTTTTTTCTGTACGCATCCAAGGGTCTGCCTTGGTGTAGTTAGCCTGAGGGGTGTCGTGTATTTATAATTCATGTTTACATGTTATAATCAGTAGCAAAAAATGATTTCGAAAGAATTTTTAAAGGAAGAACATCATACATCTGTTTTGTGTCATCCTCACTTTCTTCCTTAAGGTTATTGAGCTGGCTATGACACTGAGAATATATTTCTACTGACTTGTGTTTTAATTTGTTTCTCGTTGAAGTGTCGTAGCCAACTCACAAGTTTGGTTATGTTATGTAGGAAATTTTGTTGTTGCTCGCTGTGAAAACAGTCGGGTTGACTACTCTACTACGTCGTTATCTCCTTTCATTTTAATTTTTTTTCTTTATTTATGCAACATCTTGGTTTGTTTGACGTTTGCTTGGCACGTGCTCATTACTTAATATTTACGTTTACATCCATTTTGACTTTTTCTGCTGACATACCTTATGTTTTTTGGTAAAACGTAAAGTTAAGAAAGACTTTATGTAAGAAATATATGACGGTAATCTTATTTATTAGGGAATCACTGACCATCTTGGTTTGAAAAATCCCGTTGGTATGAGCGTACTAGTGGATGGAAATGTCCCAAAGGTTAGAAAAGTTAATGACACCTTTTATTTGTTTTCTGTGTTCACCGATAGTGAGATTATTACATTTCTAAAGTAATGAATATCTTTAATCTTTGAGAATTTACATAGCGGGGGTAACCACTGCGCATGCCAAAAATGTTACGAAATTAAAACTATCAATAGCCTTTATGCTTTGTATATTCACGAGGTATGTAGCTGGAATATAATTGGTCAAATTTTTGATTGAATTCCATCCACCTTCCACATTATTGATCTGTCTGATGTAGATGGAACATGTTTGCACGAGAAAGTGCGAACTATAACTCTTAATTTTTCTTGATTTGAGCACGTGGCGGTTACGTTACTTATATTCTAGGCAAGTGTGCTCCGCAGATATATATAGCATTTTGAATCAACTTTCAGTATTTTTAAAATTTCAATATTGATATTAAGTACATAAAATAATTTGAACAATTTATTGTACATTCAATCTACTTCATTTTGTGCCAGGTTATATTTACCAGGTTACTTAAATGTACGCGCTACGTACCTATATTCTACATGATCAAAAAGTTTTCTCAGCAAGTACAGCAGAGTAATGAATACATAGCTACATGTGTATATGTACATAATGCTGCTGAAATTTCTACTGCATACTGTATGTAAAAACTACTGTTTCTCAAAGCCCCATTATGCAATGTTAGCTATGTGAAAATGATATTTCTTTATGGAAAAAAGTGAAATATTTCCGGAAAAAGTGAACTAACAAAGCTCAATTGTATAAGTTAAGAAATATTTTTATATGTTCCTTGCAATGCAATGTGAAAATTATACTAAAATCTTACTTGATTCAGTGGCTTCACATGCTCAATAATTGGTGGAAGGGTAATATACATATGTGCATGTTTTGCCGTGTTATGATAGTAACATACATATATGGATTTTAGCCTATTTAATTATCAAACTGGCGACGTCACTTGCTTAATTAACAGTTTAAGGAATTTTATTCTCCTGCCTACGTAGCTTTTATTAATAGGTTTTCTAAAATTGTACTTAAAATTTTAGTAAGCACCTTAGCAATGTACTGCAGGACTCGTCTTAGGAAGTATTTCATACTTAAAATGTACTTTTTTGTTAATAGAATGCTGGATTGTCAAGTTCGTCGGCATTTGTATGTTGTTCAGGATTGGCTACAATGCATGTAAATGGCGGGAATTTAAGTAAAGTAAGCAAACTACTCTTGCATATTTTATTTAGATACTGTGTGGTTTGTCATTATTCTGGTGTTGTTGTCAACTAATTCTTCTTTGATTCCATTTGGACGGACTGGTTTCAAATCAGTTGTAGCATCACGTGATGTGCAATTCAACGACGTCATATTGACAGTGGTAATACATTTTCCAAGCGGGCAACGTAATCTTATAAAAACATTAAAGTTTGGCTTGTTACAAGTAAATGAATAGCCACTATAATAAGAAAATATAAAGAAAGAATTTTATCAATGTTTCATTGCAACGCGTGATATCTTCAGAATGATGAGATTTGATTTACGTCATTGCTCGTATGTTGGACCTTTTAAGAGCAATTTCTTTGTCGAGGAGTTTTTCTTTGGCATTCGTGATCTGCTGAAGAGATCTTCATGTTCTTACTGGCGAGCGTGAACCACAAGAACTTGGGAGCGTTTCGATTTTTGCCGCTCATAAAGAACGATAAATCATGTTTCGCTTTACCCGACACGCTACCAGCATTTGTTTATCACATCAATCAGTTTGCTATAGTGTATTAAACTCTTAAATGAAGAAATTGCCCTTTAACTGTCTAAAATACGCATATTGATGATAAATACCATCTCATCATTTTGTAATAACAGAGCTTAAGATGACGTCGTATTCTGCATAGTACAGGGGGTTAAAAACTGTAACTTTCACTCGTTTAGAATTTGCATGATTCGGCAGTAATTGATCTTTAAGGACATGATCTTCGGTTGTTCTCTGGTTAGTTGAGCTTTTTGTGATTAAACTGGTTATTAATTAAAATAAATTACAACACTTTGAGATCAGCCTATCTTTAGAATTCCATGATTTGGCTGTAAATGATTAAGGAGAAGTTAAAGCAATTGAAATAATTTCATAATTAGTTTTGAATTGTGCAGTATAGATTTTCTCAACTGGTTATCATTATGTATTGTAATGTATATCATATGTTATATTTTGATCAATGTTAGGAATTGAATTGTATTTCAATATCTACAGATATAAAAATTTGAACTGGCAATGGTCTTCTAATTGACAGTAGCTGCTATGAAAATTAAGGGTCAGGGGCTGTTCAGAGGGGATGAATGAAAAGGTTGATTTTGCCCCTAACTCAATGGAAGCTCCAAAAATTTGTTTGTGCCCTGAGCTTCTACTCTGAACAGATCTGTGTTGGTTTTCAGTTTTTTTGATAGACTTTTTATTCTAAACATTTTCCTTATCATCCTGTAAGACCTTTGTAGGTAATTTTTGGCGCTGTGAATTTAATTTTTGTTATATTGATCGTGAAACAGCATATAGCTTTGTCCTTTTCTTTCTTTTCAGCATGTTTCATGTTTGGCGCATCAAAAATCATCATCTATCAATAAAATTCTCATCCCTGCACGTATATATAAAATTTAGTATCATTGCTCGTGCTTCTTCTTGAACCACTTAAAACACTTAAAACACTTGAACTACTTAAAAAGTCTTTGACTTGTCATAAAAACGCTTAAACTCCTTAAATACACTACTCTGGTGTTTACTACATGTATGAGATTCAACATAATATTGTGCAGAACACAAGAACTACAAGAAAAAACAGCGCGTATTTCCTTTATAGCTACTGCATAAGTATCTACAGTTTATTTCGCATTTTGAATTTTTTTGTTACGTGTTCATAGGTGGAAATTGCTGAAGTTTGTACCAAATGTGAACGCTATATTGGAACCGAAGGTGGTGGGTACGTGTTGATAGATACTTTAGTATGCGAGTGGAATATTTGATGTTTTTCCATTGATGTAGCTATTCTGTTGTATTATGTTAGACTTTGTGCAAAACTGCATAGAAAAAGTATCTAATAGCGAATACTTTTGAAAAAATATCCTTGTGTGTTTTATTTCTTTTGATTTATACTCTACTTTAACCATCAAGGGTAATCGCTCATATAGTACACATTTAAAAACTAAACTGTGTATTTTATCCATTTCAGCCCAAGCCTCTTTTAGCCCCTTGGTTACTAACGTGACTACTTTGATTGAATTATTTGTTGCATGAATTAGTATTTTAGATAAGGTCGTTATTGTTTGTAGTTGATGGATAGAGCATTATGCTATTATTCTTTTGTTTAATAACATTCCAACTATTTAACCTTACAATAAGTTTTGTTCAAAAATTTATTTAGTCCCATTCCCCCAACCCTTTCTAATAATCCCCGGATGAAGAAAACATGCAATACTGTCGTTTTCGAGATATATACTCACTTCGACAGCTAATTCTGGGTTGCTGTTGAATGGTCAAGTTTGTTTTGCTCACTGCCATTGCATTTAAAAAAAGTCCGTTGATAGTTTTGACCATGATAATTTAATTGCAATAGTTCTCTTTCAGTTTTTCTGGGATGCAACAAATGACCGACATTTTTATTGATTTTTTTAGAATGGATCAAGCCTGTTCCTTTTTGGCAGGATTTGGCAAAGTAAGTTTATTTTGATATAGTTTAACATACATCATACTCATGTAACAACCCTTTATGGTTGCGTCAGTGCGATAATTGGGGGAGGGGAGGGGATAGTCATGCGTGCATATTTTACCATATTAATCTCCTTCGAAATCATTTGTTTTATGGGGATTATAACATGCATATATATGAGTGTGATACGAAGATGTTGGTCTTTTGAACTCTCGCACGTATCCGCAATCAATTATTCTTACTGTGAATTATAAGAAAACTGCATGACGGTGTTCCAGTGAAGGCTTTTTCTCTGGAATTTTGTAATAGAAAAATAGGCACGCAATGCGTATATGTGGTAGCATGTCTAGTATATAACTACTGAGTGAAGTAGATTTAATCAACATAGTTCAAATAACTTTACATATTTATTATGATTTACGTTCTTTAGTTTTTCCCTGTGATTGTTTAACCTTGTCTTGATTTTTCAAATGCCCTTGCTGAAATTGCATGTAACGTGACTGTGCTCACAAGTCTTGCATCATGGAAAGTGACGCGATTTACATTTCTCGCGACTTTTAAAAGTTGTTTTTTTCACTGAAAACTGGTTTTGCTATAGTTATGTTTCAAAGCAGCTTTCTGTCGTGTCTTTTTGCCGTTCACAAAATCAACACGCTTATGACATATATTGGACTACATATGTAGATTGCGTTTAGACGTATCAGGTGTTAATTGTATAATTTTTTTACTTTACAATATTCGAAAGGAAATTTATTTGCTTTCAGCGTTTTATTATATTCATCAAGAGTGTACTGTAAGTCTGGATGAGTAGCAATGTATAAACAATGTAAATGATTCTCAATTAGACTATATACGTGGACAGTACATGGTAATAAGTACGAGTTGCTAGTATCTTTCGCTGGAACGATGTATAATTGATATTTTTGATCGCTTTCGAGCCTGCATTTGACTTGTTTATTTCTATTTTATGAAGTTTTATGAACAGTAAGATTATTTGTTTGTACTATCGTTGAATCGTGCTCACGTTTAATTCCACTTGAATATTTCAAATATATCGAAAAAATTTCAAACATCGATTTAACTATCTATAGGAGCTATTTAGTTCCGTGATGTTTCAAGTTAAAATAATATTTCTCAAAATAAGAACATTTTGATATTATTATGCCACCGTCGATTCTTTGCTCATTTCAAATAACTGCTTCTTGATCTTTGTACGCGACCATACGATTCACAGTCAAACATAGCTAACATATTATTACATTCATACTATGATATGTATGTGCGCTTGGATTCATTGCCATTGTCTGATTGACCTTATGCAAAGTACGACTTTACCTTTGATCAGAAAGCACAAAGGAAGTTTGGTTACTTACAAAATTTCGTTTTACCTTAAACACGAAAAAGTCAATCGACACAATGAAATGAAAATTTTTTAGCAAAACAAGTTGTGATATTTTTCTGACAAAGCGACGAATGCAATAAGCGGTATTCTTCCCTATCGCACGCCCCGAGGAATACGACCGAGACCTAGACGGAGACTTTCGATAGCATAGTGGTTAGCTGCGCATGCGCAGCGTCTACTTACAAAAATCCAATAGGTTGTAGGTACCTTCAACTGAAAAAGTTTATCTTGTGAAATATGAAAGAAAAATTTGTATCTCTACTTCTTTCTGTGTGATGATTTGGTTATCTGTAATTGTCGTCATTTTCTTTATTCCCTTTTTTTACAACCATATGTCTGTTTATAGGCAAAGCATATTGAATTTGATCCACTTCGTTCCACAGACGTTATCATTCCTGAAGGAATTACGTTTGTTATTGCAAATAGTCAGGTAATTTTCATGAAACCTCCGCTTTTATATTGTTTTAAAGCTTTTAATGAATGTTCCAGCTTTGTCTCCAGATGAAAATAAAATATTCCTTTTAACACTATCAACTCTAGATGATATAGATTTAGGCATTTTAGGCATTAAAAAAGCATTTATTTTAAATGTCGGGTTTATTTTAAACGAGGATTTTAGACATTAAAAATCATTTATTTTAAATGTCGTTATTTACTGTGAAACCAATGGATAGTCAACTCAATATACATAGACGTGGATCAATAGTAAGTGCGACATTTGAGAGTTATCGTTTAATATATGAAAACTTGTTTAAAGTTGACACAAATCACAAGAAACCTGTTGTTGTAGACTTTTTACAATCTTATGTGTTTTTGTTAAAGTGTCTTTTCTGCTGTCCAAATCGCTCTATAATAATTGAGTAGAATCGTACTAATGCTTTGAGTGCAAATGCTTTAATTTAATGGGCTACGATACTCTTAGCGAAAGAATAGATACCGAGTAGCGGAAAAGTATGGCTACCGGCCCTTCGTCTCCCGTTTTACTCAGGCTTGTAACGATAAACTTGTTGTTTACTTCAAAAAGCAATTCTAGTAAAGGCTTTATGATGTTAAGATATTTAAAGGTAAAATACATTCAAAAAATAACTAAACATTCTTTGAGCAAAAGTCGGTCGCTTTTTAGCTAACATAAACGATGTCAGCTACAACAAATGCATAAAACAACAAATTAAAAAGAGCTATAACGACCCTTTTCTTTATAAATACTATATGATTCCACTAAAACAAATAGATTATTAATTCTCTTTCGATAAGCAATGAAAAGTTTGAATGAATTAGAATAAAGAATTATCACAGCTGGTTTGCACTACTAGCATGCAAATTTTTCTGCCTGCCAAAAAAAACGCACGCCAATTTACACGATTTATACATCCCTAGGTTGAAATGAACAAGTCAAAAACGGCTGGAACACACTTTAATGTCCGAGTTGTTGAATGTCGTACAGCTGCACAGGTATGTTACATTTTGATACGAACCAGATGTTTTAAAGAAACCTCAACTATGATGGCTTTATTTTTCAACTCTTTTCTCATGTATAATTTAAATAATGCGATCCTCCAGCTGACGTTTTACAAAGCTCAACATTTGGTATTCATTCTTTTGTTTGGCATGAATGTTCCCTCCTACTCACTTGACCATAAAATACTCGTTTTAATGAAATTATATTTATTTGAAAATCGAAGCCCATAGCTAATTAATATTATAACAGCCAATCATTTTACTAAAAACATCTTGCTGCTTGTACAACGTCTTCAACGACCCACACAACTCTATTCTCACTTATTTGCTATCTTTGTTTTGTTTCCAATCATGTAATCTGTTGTAAATTAAAGTTAATTAAACTTTAAATGTTTGAATAATAAAACAATCTTTAACAGAACTTAACCTAAACTCCACGGGATGGAGCATAATTCTCCTTCATTTTAGGTACTTGCAAAAGCCAAAGGTGTTGACTGGAAATCTATACGTAAACTTTCCCAAGTACAAAAGGAACTCGGAGTTGATTTAGGGAAAATGTGAGTCGTGCCATTATTTATGACGCACTTAAAATGGTCGATCTTAAGGTTTTTTTAAGAGTACCTCCTATCAAGATGAGAAAAATCTCTCCTTTATATTGTTAAATCGATGTTTAAATAATTTTCAATATATATGATAGGTCAAAAATTTTATCTTCGTGCGCAGTTTGTGCCTAGAAGTAGATAAAGTGTGTAAAGAAGTTATTTCCCTGACCCTGATATAGGCACTTGAATGAATGTGTATTTTATTGACTGTCCTCCATCACACTTTCACAACATCTTTCATTTAAGACAGTTTGCCATGAACAAATTTTCATTTGTTTCAATCTAAATGCCCCATGCATTGCAAAGCACCGAAGGTTTAGTTGGATAATTTACTCTCAGCTTGTCAAGGCGTATATTTGTGATGTAAATGAAATTAGTGACTGAACTATAGATTTATAACAATTATTACATACAGTGATAAATGCAGAAGCCTTTATACTATTTTGTTGTGCCAAAGCAATAAAAGTTTCCGTGCGTTGACATAAAATTATTTTAACGGTTGTCTTTCGTCTTTTTCCGTAAATATTCGATGAAAACACTCCTCACTGACAAAACCCTTTCCGGTCATTTTTTTGCTTTTTTCAAAAATTTGAGCCAAATCAGTTTGTAAGATGCTTCCGAATTTCTAGCAAGATTTAACAATTATACCTTATCTGTTTTCAATTATTGCTTTAAAAATTAAGTCACGTATTAATGATTTCCAATGTTTTGTAGGTTGCAAGACATTAAGAATTATCTGTAGACTCTTAGCCAATCACAATCCAGATTGCACCAGCACATAATAGTTTCTTTTAAATTAGGTTAGAGTTTGTTGAAGAAATATTGCATAAGGGGTCGTACTCAAGACAGGAAATATGTAAATTACTAGAAATAACGGTGAGTGTTTAAGGAAAAATATGAAGTAATTGTTTTTGTTTACCGATGGTTGAATGAACATTTTGTTCACAGGATGTTGATTTGATTAAAGAATGCCTAAGTGAGTCTACTGCGCATGTTGATAGCTTCAAGCTCTACGACCGAGCGATACACGTGTATAGCGAGGCGAAAAGAGTATTAGAGTTTCGTGGTGTTTGTGAACAAAAACCAAAAAATGCTGTCGAGGTAAGCATCTTACGTTCTGTTATAATTTTTTATTTCGCTGAACATTGACGTGAACACTGCGTACTGTTATATTTTGATGAGTTTTGTGATAATTTTTTTTTACTATTCTTTCATCAATTTTTGATGTATTCTAAATTGCAACTAAATATATTTCCCACAATATTTACGAATGTGGCAGCAGTAAACAAAGCAAAAACCGTCTTACTTTACTCGTCCATTGTAAAAGACATTTTACACCAGAATACACCATTTGCTCAGAGAACAAAGAACATTAAATTACACGCTTTGACTTAACAATAACGTTGTAGAATATTCATCAAAACAAAGGAGCACTAAAGACCACCAGTTGAAAATCAATAGCATTTATTTATATTGCACAAAAACTAGGAATTTTCAAGTAGCATTAACGTGCATTTTATAAAATCTAAGGAAGGGTCGTTTAGATAAAGCAGACATTCAAATAAACTTGTATATAACTGGTTTTCATAACTGGAATCACAAGTAAGCTTGTGATTCGACAAGAAAACGATTAAAATTATCTATTCTCGCTAACCTTTAGCAAATAAATAGCTAAATTCCAAATTTTACGATTTTTTACAAACATTGAAACTGTGCATTGTGATTGGTTCATAAAATAACCAGACATTATTATTGTACAATCAGCTTTGCTCTTGTTCTTTTCAACTAAAGCAATCTATAAAACAATGGAAAGAATATTTGAATGAGTTGTTTAAGACGTTTGTCCATTCACAAACATTAACTATGCAACTTTCACTGATTGGTCAATGACAGAATTAATCAGCACATCCAAAAGCAGAACGCTCAGTGTTATAACATATAACAGATGGAGTGATTACTGTTATCTGGCCTACAATACCTTCCATGTAATTATTTAGCAAACAAACTGTTGTCTTTATTATCTAGAGTCTTGGCAATTTAATGAGCGAAAGTCATGACAGCTGTAGGGTTCAGTATGAATGCAGCTGTGAAGAGCTGGACAAACTGGTTGATTGTTGTAGGTAGGGTGCTTTGTTTATGATATTTTAATAATGAGTTTCTTCCATCGTCATGGATGATATTTTCGTATTTTTTTACAAGCATAATATAGCACTAAGACATTTCAATTAACATGCGGACAATAGTTACGATTTCAAATTTTTTCATGAAATTTTTCATACTGTAAACATTCAAATCATGTGTTGTTGATTTTTGCGCATTTTTAGTGCAAAGTTTCCACCATATCTATAACTTTTTTGACGTTTAGTTATACTTATGAAAAAGATAAATGCATGTGTTGCAGGATTTTATCTGATTCTATCTAATCTTTATTAAAGATTTTTATATTTGTAACTTGTTAGCGACTGGAATCGTCTTGGGAACTTGCTCATTTTGTATTCGCTATCGATAGTGTTGCTTCAAGACGATGTCAGCAATTTTTAACTGTTTAGATGTGCAGGGGCACTTGGTTCTCGTCTTACTGGAGCTGGTTGGGGTGGCTGTACTGTTTCCATGGTGCCGAATGACGCAGTCGATGTGTTCTTAAAGGAAGTCAAAAGGCAATTTTACCAGGTTGACTGTGAAGATCCTGGTAATCATGGCACTATAGAGCAGAGTTTGTTTGCAACATCACCTGGTGGAGGGGCAGCGATCATTTTACCTGATGCTGTAGATAGTGATGGAAATGGTTTTTATTTTAAATTGTAATTTACTATTTTAAATTCAGTCTGTATTAAATATGGTTTTGGCGAATCGTCATTATTGAATTTAAAGATTTGAAATCATTTTATTGCTGAAGTGGAATTTGTTGTCAGTCTCTTGATTTAATAACATACTAATTTCGCACTGATTTCTTTAAGAATTATTGTTGTACTTCAAAAATTATGACAAAACCATGAGAATACTTCCAAAACTGTGCATGGATCATGTCGGAAATTAGGAAAACTCAAGTTTCGTAAGCGTTTCTTCCTTTGACGTTTTGGAAGTATCTCTTTCCAGAAAATGGAGTAAATTTAGAATGAACTTTTTAGCTACGTATGTTTTTACGAATATCTTATTGATTCGTAGCAAGGCGATGTTTTCTTCTACTAAACGTCGAGCATTTTTTTCTTTAAATGTTTACGTATGACACGAAAGTTCAACACACAGTTTTCTAAAAAGAACAATTACCTAATTTCTACAGAAAAATTTAATGTGGCGGCGCTGGGGAGGCAAGGAGAGGAGGCACACAACCCAATTTTATTGTTTTCTTTCCCCCAGATTGTTGTCCAGTAAGAAACTAAAGGGCTGTTTGACGAACTGGAAGTCCTTGATTACCTAAACATGGTAAACCTTTTACACGCCATATACACTATTTTGCCCATACACGCCATATACATTGTATAGGCTATACTCGCCATATACACTATATAGGCTATGCACGCCATATACACTATATAGGCTATACACGCCATATACTCTGTATAGGCTATACACGCCATATACACTATACAGGCTATACACGCCATATACACTATATAGGTTATACACGCCATATACACTATATAGGCTATACACGCCATATACACTGTATAGCCTATACACGCCATATACACTATATATGCTATACACGCCATATACATTATATAGCCTATACACGCTAGATATTTTGGGATGTTTATTTCAACTACTGCCAGCAAAATTTTACGAATTTCCTTAATTTTATACTTTCGAATATTTTCCGTAACGCATCATCGTCATGTAGTCGTGTCAATTCGTGAATTGCCGTCCTAGCCCCTAGATATTTTTTAGTATAACATTGTGGTTAGCCTGTTAGCAGGCTACTCACAAGAAAATATTGTTAAGCTTGGATTTATAATAAGATGCAATGCCAGTAGTGATTCCTGTCTGTGAGAGAAAGCCAAGAAAGTTGATTGAAATAGGCAAAAAAACTATACATTTTTAGGCCTTGTTGCGCCCCCTAAGAGGACATTAAATTTGGCCCTGTATATTGTCTACAGTCATTGTGACAATTGACAAGTCAGGTGTTATGGCCACATAAGAAACATCAAGAATGCTTCTCAATTACTTTATTCCTTAATTGACTGTAAAACGACCCCCCTTACAAGGTTTCATTTTGATCAGTCTTCCTTTTTCCCCAAAGTTAACTTCATTAACTGTATATTATAACTGTGGAAATAACTGTTCTGTTTCAATTCATTTCTGCGCCCCCCAAAAAATCAACAGCTGGGGGCCTTCCCCCCCCCCCTGCTCCCCTGACACACACCGTCATAAAAGGATGTTGAATTTTTACAACTGATTTGTATAACATATTATCTAAAAAATAGCCATATGGAATTTTAAAAAAATCTTCTAGTATAATACGTTTATCAAATGTAAATGTGAATTTTTTTCATTTCTTCGTTTAAAATACATTTTGTTGGTTTTCGTGATATTTTTCTTTATAAATTACGTTCATTGTCTTTCACACACTCTTTTTCGAATCAAAATTAGTTTTCCTTTTCCATCACTCTTTAAAGAGAATCTTTTGCATCCACTATTTCATTATTTTTATTTGTTTTATAAGAATAACTTTTTCGCCCGCATAACAAATTGATCCAATATATTCGTCATTATCTCATTCATTAGTAAGATCACCTAGATAGTTACCCGTTTTAAAATCATTGTTTCCATCAACACTTGAATGCAGCTTATTTTGTGTTGTGTTGGGTGATTGCTGTTGAAAAAGATTATTTGGTCTGTGTGGGTGGTTTTGCGGTATACTTGTGTGCTTAGTGTACCGTCGTCTTAGCAGCTTAACTTCCTACACAAATGTAAACAACGAATCCTACCAAACAGCATCAACTACAGACGACCATTAAAAACAACTCACGCTCAACAAATTGCACAATCAAACGGCTGCAGTATGTTAAACGTCCTCATATCAGATGCCCAAAACCGCTTACGAATCTCCCGACATAAACTTCAAGAACATCGAGAAACTGTAACAAGGTACACTACAAAATCAGACGCCAAATCCATTAAAAAAGCCATCAAAAAAGCAACATCCACATATAGAACAAAACGACACCACGAACTTCATCGAAAATATCAAGAATCAAGATCATACAAACAACTCCATCCCAACACAAACGAATTTGTCACAAACATCTCGAGCAAACCACGAACCGAACAGTAAACTAAATTTACCCCGCAGACTTGACTACGTTGCCGACCTGGAATCACCATTAAAGTACACCAACTTAACAGACCAAACGAAAGAAGACATTCGTCACAAAATCACCAATAACCTCTGCCACAAACCACCTGTCACCCTAGAGACCCTTTTAACTACGAGCAATTAAAAACCTACAAAAGGACGACGAAATAATCATATTACGAGCTGACAAAGGACGCAAACAGTTATCATGGACAGATCAGAATACATCGAAAAGCCAAAACCCTCCTACAAGACAAAACCACCTACGAACTTCTCCTTGCAGACCCCAGCAAAACAACCACCAACAACATTAACCAGAAACAGAAGCAACTAAAAGACAAAAAAATGACCGAAAGCGACTGCAGAAGAATCCGACCCAATGACGCATCCACCGCCAAATTCTACGGACTACCAAAAATCCACAAAGAAAACAATCCACTTCGACCTATCGTATCGCTTCCAGGATCACCTACGTATGGACTTTCGAAATATCTTTATAACATTCTGTATCCATTAGTCAAAAATTCACCTCACACCATCAGAAATGCCACCACTTTCCTTGCCAATATTGAAAACATTAAACTACGACCAGACGAATCATGATATCCTACGACGTGAAATCACTCTTTACATCCATACCACTAGACGTAGTCAAACAAATTACAAACGAACTACTCACAAACGACAAAACCTGGCAAGCTACAACACAACTAGACAAAATGACATCTTAGACTTACTCAACGTTTGCATCTCCACTGAATTCACCTTCCAAAACACATACTACAAACAAATTTCAGGCACACCAATGGGATCACCACTATCCACCTTCCTCGCAGAAGCTGTCATGCAACACCTCGAAACACAATCAGTCACAAACAACACAAACATCAGACTATGGAAAAGATATGTCGACGACATCTTTGTCATAGTCAAGAAAGACAAAACTGAACAAATCCTACACACCATATACAATACCACAAAGAGCATAACCTTCACTAAAGACGAAGAGCACGACAAACAACTTACTTTCCTCAACATCCTACTAACCAGAACAGATGACGGTACACTAAACACACAAGTATACTGCAAAATCACCACACAGACCAAATACTCGATTTCAACAGCAATCACCCAACACAACATAAAATAAGCTGCATTCGAACACTTTTTAACAGGATAAACACTCATTGTAACACCGAAGAAGCCAAGAAATCAGAACACAACTATTTACACTCCACATTTATTAAAAACAATTACCCTAGAAACTTCATAAACAAGACTATATACAAAATACAAGACAAAACACAAACCAACAAAACCAACAAAAAACCGGACGAAACAGTAAAAATCGTCACATTACCATACTCTAGCTTTGCTAAGAGCTCATGAGAGTACTGCTTCATTTAACATCCATTCAGATTCCCTATCTAGTCGCATTGATTCGAAACCAGGGACAATATTTTGTTTTCCTGGGGGATGTGAGCAAGGCTAATCAAGATGTTTTTATTTATACACAACTCCCATATCTTTTGTGCCATAGTATTACATATGTCCGAATGGCTTGTACCCATAGGATTTAATATGTTTATTAAGGTTGTGTTGTCACATAGTGTTCTGATATATGTGTTTTGAATATACTTTAAAGGTCTGTAGACCTAGGTAGACCGCTAACATTTCTATATAGTTAATGTGGTTTGTGGTTTCTAATTTTGTCCACGCCCTTCCTGTGGATGTTCCTTGATACTGTTGGGGGGTGCTCCTCCAACTTTGAGATGGAATCACTAGTGGTAATTGGATGCTAGGGTTTCTTTCCTTGACAGATTCTAAAATGAATTTTTGGCATTAGAGGCCAATCAATGTAGTTCTGTTTGTTTATCCTGTGAAAGTTGCATATTGGTATCAAAATTTCTTTGGGCATCCTTCATTGCGTTAGTTTTATCGTGCTCTAGTGCTCAAAAGTTCAAGGGCCGATATATTACCCCTGGGAAGCTTGTTACTATTTATTTAGGGTAATTATTTCTTGTGACGTATTGTGCAGGATTTAGAAGGATGTGACTGATCCCAGTTTCTCAAACATTACAAACGTATCAATGACGTGAAAAACACATTTCTCAGATGTTTGCCCGTGAAGATAGCAGTCATCAATGTTGTAAACAAATGTCCTCTTGAGCGCGTACATCCTAAAGCTGGTTTCAAAACTTTAGTGAATAACGTAGTTGCACATGAAAGCCCATTTGGCAAGCACGTAAATTGATAAATAAATTCTTCACGCCATATAAATCTTAAAAATTTTTGATTCGATGCCTTTATTGGTATGGAGTTGTACGCATTTTTATGTCCAGTGATGCCATAAAGCATTTTTTAGTAACTAGCTCTGTGACTCATTTTGAATAGCGTCCATCTTAAAATGATGATAGACCACGCCCTCATTAAAAGCGTTCGATTTCAGAATTAGGCGATGTGCGTAAAAATATACCAGAGAGGGTTTGTCCAACTTCAAAATGCACTTTGGTACTGCACCGTTTTATAGTATCTCCTCGTCAAGCAAAGAGCATTTACGTGGGAAAAATTTTTGCGTGTGTATCTTATGC